ATAAGAGAGCATCACTCAAGGGATTCTGGGTGGGAGCTCCAGCAGACATAAGGTGAAACAAGGGAGAATTGTCTGTGCATGGTGGTGGGGAAGGGTGAATTGGGGACAAGGAGGTGTGGGTGGTTAAGAATGGCAGAGCTATTCTACAGGAATGATTTTCCTGCTCCTTTGTTTCTTCATGGAGAAAGAGCACCATCTGTCCAATGGAGACACCCCGCAACCCTGTCTAGAAACCTTGCTTCTTAATGCACGCTCTTCTCATCCCATCCCACACACAATGTTATTGCTTTCCCAGAGCTGTTAGCATCTAGAATGGCTCCAAGGGAGGCCTGGTTTTGGTCTCCCTTGAAGTGATGATGGTATCAGCCAACGACTCCCCCCCCCCCCTTTTTCCCACATAGAGCCATCAAAGGAGGCAGTAGGGACTTTATCTGGCCCATCAAGTCATGGCCCTTGGAGGCTTGCATAATGAGGTCATTGCTCCCCACGCAGTCCCCTCTCTCTGATAAAGGGCTGGCACAGGCACTGGGAACAAGGTTTCAAAGGTTGCCAAAGGCAGGAAGAAACAAGGATTGGTGGAACTGACTCCCCCTCGCCTGGACTCCAGGCCCAATCACAGGGTTTGTTCCATCCAGTGGCACCAAGCCGACTGGCTGAAGGAGACTCTTCTGGGGCTAGTAAGAAGGCAAGAAATTGCTGGGTGGGTCAGAAGATTTCAGAACAGCTACAGGGTCTCATTGGCTTTGAAACCACTCTGGTGTAGCATATTGCCCAAACCTGGGCTAGTTTTGTCAAGGTGGCTTATGTTTGGTTTGTAAGCCACCCAGACAAGCCACAGCTTGTTGTAGGGTTTCTTTGCCCCAAGGTGGTTTGCCATGTTGCCCAAATCCAAATAACACAACCACCAGGGGGAAAGCCCCACAACATGCCAGCTAATCTTTGCTGCTCTTGCCAAGTAGTTCCAGGCAAATGCTGACAACAGCCGCCTGGAAAGTGCCCACATGGTGCTTAGGGGCAGCTGCCCTTTGCTTTTCCACTGCTGCGTACCACCCTCACCTTGCTTGGGGAGATAGAATACTGCAGTACCCCCCTCGAGTTTTATCTCCCAAGTTCCTACCTGTAGCAGGACTAAGAGGGGAGTGAGGGGAAGTGAATGATGATGCATCCAATTGTCCGGCACATTGCAAGTCCGGGGGACAAACAAGCCATGGCATATGGCTTGTCCTGCAGTGTGGCTGTGTCAGATGTTCTCATAGGGCCAGTTTCAGTTTCCTGGCTCTCTGCCATGGGTACTTTGTGCAAATCAGGGTTACTTATGCACAGTTAGAGCTGCATGCTACTGGTGGCTTAGACAAATCAAGTCTCACACCAAAGAGCCCCACAGCTAGAGATCAAGATTAGAAGCATGATTCTTCACCATTATTTAGTTCCTAAGAGGTCATTAGGCATTGTCCCATGCATTGTCAAGTTTTCTGACCCATCTTTAAGGGCTGGAAGAGGTGACAGAGAACGCTTACACACAAATATGTGTGAAACACACAACCAAAGCAATGCCATGTCCTAAAGTCATAAAGAACAAGAAAAGAGACCCCAAACATTCTAAGCCACCCAACTGACCAGGGACAGCCCTTTATTTCTGGTAAACCACTATATGTATTTTATTGATATTGATAAAATATTGATAAATATTTATTGATAATATTATTGATAAAATGCCACCTGATGTCCTAATTAGCAAGCTACTTAAGAGTGAGATAGATGGCAGTAGCACTAAGAATATGGTACTCTTGTCAATGCTTTCTCATCAAACTGCCCTCCAGGGTACCACAGTGCAAATGGTGGGAGGTGGCTTGACAACAAAACTTGACAACAAAACTGGCTTGACAACAAAACATGTTGAAAGGACCCTATAGTGGATCACAAACTAAGTACGAGTCAACAGTGTGATGTGGGTGCTAAAAAGGCAAATAAGATTTTAGGTTGGGTCAACAGAGGTATGATTTCAAAAGCATGGGAAGCAGTAATTCTGCCCTTCTCTGTCCCTAACCCGACTGCACCTCAGACAGTACGTTCTTTAAGAAGGATGTTGGTACATTGGAATGTGTTCAGAAAAGGGCGACAGCAACGATGAGGGGATTACAAACTAAATCCCATGAGGAAAGATGGAAAGAACTAGGTATGTTTCACCTTGAAAAAAGAATACTGAGGGAGGTTGTGATATTTTTCAAGGACTTAAGGGACTGTAACATGGAAAAGAAACACAACTCTGTCTCCAATACAGGGCATGAAATAATGAGCTTAAGCTACAGGAAAACAGATTTCAGTTGGACATCAGAAATAAATCCTAAAAGGAAGAACAGTCAGACAAGGGAACCAGCTGCCTAGGAAGGTGGTAGGCTCTCTGCCACTGGAGGTGCTCAAGCAGAACCTGGGCAGCCATCTGTCAGGGATGCATTCAACTGGATTCCTGCCCTTAGGAGAAGATTGGACGTGATGGCCAAAATTACTCTTTTCCACTCTTAAGATTCTGTTGTTGTTGGAAATTATAAAAAATTATAAAATATTTAAGATATAGGGTGGTATAGAAATGAAATTAACATGGATAATTAAACATTTTAAATCATGCCCATGGAAAAGAACAATATGGAAGGAGAGGTTTTTTCTATATTTATTAATGCTTTCTGTCCCTCCATCCAAAAATTTGATGTGACTAACCTGTTCCATTACGTCCTTAATTATTTATCATCACTACTGACTTCAGCTGAAAGTAGCAACATTGTTCACAGGGACAGAATTTTAACTTTCATGCTGAGTTGGCCTCAATTTTCCTCATCTGCAAAAAGGGAATAGCGAACTACTTCATCCAGAGTTGCTGGGGAAATGAATGAACTAAGGAACTATTGCGACCTCACATGGGTATTAAAGGGACAGAGAAGACCACATAAACATACATTTAAAAAACACCTACTGCCTATTTTTGACCTGATGGAAAATTATAGTAGAGCTTGAGACTTGTCACTGTCATTTTTCAGCTCCAGCTTCATCTTCCCACTTGCTTTCTCAGTCTGCCTCCCTAATTCACAAGTCCTGCATTATTTTTAAAATATGTGAAACCCGCCTGGTATTCAACAATCACAGTTCCAGGGACACTCTTACCACTTCCCTGCAGTATGTGACACAGTCACTATGTCTCTTGTTCTGTGTCAGCATTGCCTGCTCTTTATATTTTACTCCCACTTTCACTTCAGCAGTCAAGTATTTCAGTGCTGTACTTCTTGTGGGTGCTTTACAAAGGATAGCACTGTGGCTGTCCCTTTTTGATTTGCTGTTCAGTGATGACAAGTAACCTAGTAGTCATTCCACTTTTCCTTAAACTGAGTGTAGGAGGATGCTGCATATTAAAAGTAGGTGCCTGGGTTGAGACCTGGCATAAATCAATGAACAGAATACAGATGTAGTCATTCCTAGAGTAGGCCTGTTAAACTCAATGAGGCAAAGAAGTCATGAGTAAATTCAGTCCTAAAGATTTCAGTTGGTCTACTCTATTGAGATTAAACTACTGCTGGGAACTGACTGCTGATAAGAGATCTTTGATGAACTAAATGGAAATACAGAGGTGGCTCCTTGTCCCATAGTTTAGAATGAAATCCTATAAACACTTACTTGGGAGTAATTTCTTTTCTCCCTGTCTAAAATTCATGGAATTGCATCCCAAGTGTTACAAAACTTTGTTATCCTCTACTAGTGCAATATCTTGTAGTTTATTTTACAACATACTTAGACCACTTTTCATCATTGCTTTCAGAGTGTCTTACACTAAAGCAACAAAATCAGTTTCAAATGAACAAAAAAAATAACTCAAAAATGTTGCATTATTTTCCATAGTTGCTCAGATTTTCCCCAAAGGCTGAAGCATGCAGTTGAGCCATTTTTTAAAAACGTGCAATTTCAAAATACTTGTTAATTAAAAATCATGCATTTTTCAAATGTGTTTGCAAGCTCAAGAAAGTGTGAACGTTTTTTGGAGAACACATTCTCCTGTTCACCTCATTGATTGGGACTGTGAACAAACAGACTATTCTCTCATACACAGTTGCTGCCTACGCATTAGAATCAGCTTCTGAAGCTCTGGTCCAGGTTCCATCACCTGATTAGGTAAGGTGGGCAATAGGCTAAAAATATTACTCATGATGTTACCTGGCAGCCCATGAGTGAAACCTGCCATGAGCTTCTCTTAAAAAATGTTTCTCGAGCAGTTCAGTCCAAAGGGCTGGGAGTAGCGATCATTTAATTTCTTCCAACGCATCCAACATAGCATTGCACAATTGAAATTGTGAGAAATCAAAGCACCCACCTAATGACTGCTGCTAGTTAAGACCACACGGGCACACCCACAGAGGTGACTTTGCTTAGGGCTAATACTACCCTGTTTCTAACTGTGGCCACCCTTCACTTTCCGTGACGGCTCCCAAAAATTGCAGCCCTAGTTTAATTCAAAAGCAGCCTAACTGTTTGCGCATGGGCAGTAATTTGTCAGCGAGGCTGCAATCAGTTGGAGCCTCTTCTGCATATTTTAGCAATTAAATCATAATTTGTCTGGAGGGTAACAAAGTAATGCCTCTTTGTAGAAACAGAGGCAAATGTCCTGGAACGAAACCGAAACTGCTCAGCTCTCTTCCTTCAGGCATTTTCCTCATCCTTCCATCCAAGGTACTAATGGTCTCGCCCAACCTCCACCTCCTCCACATATTGACCGCTTTCTGTCTGTCTTCTTAGTGATCCCGCCCAATTTTTAGTCGCCCGCCAATTCCCCTTTTCCCCGACTAGAATGGTCTCGCCCAGCTTCTCCCGCGTGCGGCGAATGGTCTCTATCTCAGGGCGGAGGCGGCATCGGGTGACAGCATCAGGCAGCGCCCTGGGAGAGACCAAGTGTCTGAAATCGGGAGGGGTTGTGTCTGGTTGAGCAGGAACTTCAGGTGGGAGGAGACACACCCCCACGATGGGCTGGGGAAGGCCGCAGGGGGAGGAAAGGAATGTTGGCTGCCCCTCCTTCGGCTGACGAGCCGTCATTGCAGCCTCGCGCCCCTGGTTGCCCGCTGGCTCCGTCCCTCTGTGCTTTGGCGGATCACCCCAGCTCGGATTAGGGAAGTGAGTGGGTGAAATCCTGCGGTGTCGCTGATTTCTGGACTGGGCTCCTTTGAACTCGACCTCGTAGTGGGGAGGAAGCCGCTAACGGTGGCATTCCGCGCACACACAGGGCTCTGAGGTTAAGACAGATCCTGGCACTGAAGTGGAAGTAGGCTTTGGGGCGGAAGGTGGCTGCATTCTTTGTCACAGTTGCAGACTTCTGCAACCCACCTTTTCCCCATGTTGCAACGTCTGGCAGTCAGTGGTAGCCAACGGAGCTGCTTTTGGGTGGTGGTCTCACAAAGAAGGTGTGAGCTGCTACATAAGGAGTTCCGATTCGGAGAGCGCAATCTTGTGTGTGCATGTCTACTTGCATGTAAATCGCATTAGATCAGTGGGGCCGATTCTCGGGTAAATGCTGATAGGATTGCAATATGAGTTTCTTTTGGTGGGAGAAAGGCTGAGATGAATGGATGGGAAGAAGCGAGCAGCTGTGGCACACAATAGAGACAATGCCAGTAGAGAAGCAAGAGTAGGTGTGTATGAGCTGGCCGATAATGGGAGAAATAGCAACGTTTTCCAAGACAAGGTTGGATGTTCATAAGGGGTTTTGACCTGTGTTGCGTATGCCACTTGATACACATTAGCTTGTGTGGAAGACAGAATTTTATTTTCATATCTGCTCATTTTGAGATTGGTATAGCAATGTATGGCCACCTAAATGTATGTCAACCTCCTTGTTCTTCTTGTGTCAGTTGTAAATGGATGGGTTCTACCTAGAGTGCATTTTTAGACCTTCCTCCTGATAGATTGGGTTTTTCTATAGAGTATTAAGGGGTTGTTGGGGGTTTTTTGTTTTTTTGTTTTTGTTTTTTGTTTGGCATTTTAACCTAAAATCTTGAAATTGAGTCTTACTATATTTATTCATTCACTTCTTATATTTCTATATTGCCCAATAGCTGAGACACTCTGGGCATGGTCTGCAAAGATTAAAAATGTATTAGGTATTTTAAATTTAACATTAAATGTGTAAACTACATTATTGCAAATAATATAAAAAGCATTTACATGCAACACATGCAGTTCTAGCAATCAACAATAAGAAATCCTAGAACCCAATTAAAAACATTATCATAGTCTGTCCGTGGCTGAGAGTAGAAGAAAATCTTAACCCGGTACTGAAGACAGCAGCATTGGCATTGGGTGGATCTCACCAGGGAGGTCAGCCTATAAATTGAAAGTCATCTCTGGGAAGGCCTTCTTCCCTTGTTTCCCTTGCGCTTCTTTCAGAGGAGGTATTCGGAGGACCATCTTCAGTGCCTTCTCAGAGGGAGTGCTGCATTGTGCACCCTCACTGGCAAGGGCACATTCAGTACTGGAAAGCCAATGTGATGTAGTGGAGAGAGTGCTGGATGGGGATCCAGGAGACCCAGGTTCTAATTCCCACTCAGCTGTGAAGCTCACTGGGTGACCTTGGGCCAGTCTCAGACTCTCAGCCCAACCTACCTCACAGGGCTGTTGTTGTGAAAATAAAAGGCAGCTATTTAAGCACCTTGGGCTCCTCACAAGAGGGAAAAAGGCAAGATATAAATGCTAATAATAATAGCTCATAACAATAGATGAGGAATTCATGGTGCGATCCTGTACATGTGTACTGGGATGTAAGTCTCACTGTTTTCATTGGAGCTTACTTCCAGGTGAGTATGTGTAGGATTACAGCCTAAAATTGTGTCTGAATTGTACCAAATGACTGAATGTGCTTGTGTGTGTGTGTGTGTGTGTGTGTGTGAATGAAAGCAAAAAACAAACCAGTAACAAAACAAAAACAAAAACTTGCATGTATCTGAGAGAAGCCTTAGCCTAGCATTCGCCCTGACATGCTGGTGGTCCAAGGCCTTGTCTGCTGGGGCTTCTGGTCTCTGGCATGCCTTCCTAAGGGATGCCCACTAGCCAACTCTTCTGACATTCATAAGGCTTGGGAATACCATCATGTTCACACTTCTGGAAACATGTTATTTCCCCATTCTGAACAGCAAAATTGGCTCTCTTAGGTCTTAATTTTTAGTAAGAGCTTCAAGCTAAAATAGTCCGGGACTTTTGACCTCACCCCTTCTTTCATTGCACTGTCCACCAGTGGAATGTGGCCCTTGAGCTCCACAATGGAATTAGGTCCTTGGGTGGAAAGAGGTTCTGCACCCCTGGCTCATAACTCCAGTAAACTGCTTTGAGAATCTTGTTTGTGCAGAGTATAATTTTAAGATTGTAGCAAATCATGGATTTGTCAACCAAGCTCTCAAGTTTGTTTTCATAAATTGGTGTGTGGGTAGTTTCCTTCTCCCAATTGTTCTTCCTTTTTTATCTTTCATGTGTGTATCCTTATGAATTAGCATCCAATTTTCTCCAGCAGTGTGTGGTGGAGCAGGGTGGATCTTCTAATTAACCCTTTCACATTATTTCCTTTATTACCTTACAGGCCTTCTCTGTCCTGACACTTATCTTAATAGGCCTCTTAAAGAGAACCTTGATAATAGGAACAGACAGGCTAATTCCCTGGCAGAAGGAGTTTTTCCTCTCCTGGAGCCATTGATTCAGTAACAGTTGTACAGTTGGGAAAGGGTTACTTCTTGGCGATGAGGAGAGGCCCTTAGGCCCTTTCCCCACTTCAGAGATTTCTTGATCAGTGGCTTTGAGGGGACTCTGAGATTTGGAACTGAGGTGTTGTCTAGATTTGAGTGGCTGAACATTTGTGTGAACTACAGAACCTCTTTGTATCATGGTGTCTATTCTGTCCTCCTCTTCTGCAGGACTGAAGTAGCCCCTGTAATGGCTTCCTATGTGAGAGATACCTCCGTGCTGGACCCCCCATCTGGGCCTCCTCTGGAGACTCAGGCACCACTGGTAAAGTAACCTGTTACTGTGATGGAGGTAGTGGTTAGGTTGCAAGTGAACTTTTGGGGAGAAAAATAGCTGTTCTCCCTTCCCTGTTCATGAGGGGAGAGGCTTTCTGACTGCACCGTATGGGCGACTGGGTTTCAAGCTGCCACTGTCCACTCTCTCTTGGCTCCTCCAGAGAAAAGGTAACAGAAAAGGAGGGCTGCCAGAAGCCAAGCGGAAGGGACGGGCCAAGAGACTGAACAAAGATGCGGAGGAGCTGCTGTCAAGCCTGCAGCAATTGGTAAGCCGGGTGCGCTGGATGCTCAGTTCAGAAGAGCAGCCGGCTGGCTCTTGGAGAGAGGAATGCTAGAAGGCCACTCCCTGGGACTGATTCTGAATTATGATTCTAGTGGTAGTGTCGGGGGCAGTGATGGCAAGGGACTACTGCAGTAGGTAGCAAAAGGTTCAAAACATTTTGGAGGTTCTTGTTCAGAAAAGTGTGGGTGCTTCTTTTTTAATGTTCTGTTGTCAGAACCATTTGTGGGGCAAACTGCCTTTGTACAATTGGGGCGAAAAGAAACTCTGTACATGTGCAGAGGTAACTTTCTTTAGTGGGAAGTGTTGCAGTGCAGAGTTATTAAGGATTCTATTAAGGATTCTAGCAAGCCTGGTGCACCCTTTCCTAGGGTACTCCATTCCCTTTCCCCTGCCCTTGGAATTTTGTTCTTCCCACACCACCCAAATAATGGACCAGCATTCTGTAGCTTTCTTTGGGCTGTTTCTGCTTTCACTCCCTCCTGTGGGTTTTTCCCCCTTCAAAGCAGTTGTACTTCTTCCAAACTTGGGGTTCTGCTAAGCCAGAGGAACCCTTCCTTTTGTGCATTGGTGGTGCTGTTTTGACTGCAAACAGACTGAGAATAAGTTTGCTGTTACTTATATAGGATGAATTTGTTTTCCACTTATAGCAAACACATGCCAGAGTTCCTCATCCAGCATGCCCATTTCTGCCCCAAGCCCTGCCCACTTCCTGTCAAATGCTCAGCACTAAAGAAAGGCAGATTTTCTCTGAGCCCATGTGCGGAAGGATCCGGATTACATGAGATGCCTGTGCAGTGGTGTTCATGGAGCAAAGGACCATCCTCTGACAATGCAGCCACTGGGGATTGTCCCAAGAGGCAGTCTAGCTCAGGGCGGGAACAGTTTTCCAGCCCTTATGTATATAGTATATTTCTTCATGTTTAGCTCCGTAGATGCAGGGATGGAAAGTTATGCTAACTGGGTGCAGCTAGAGGAAGAGGGTTGGGGTCTGGCAATGTGTTTTTTCTTACTTACACTGCTCTTCAATGTTACTCCTAACTAGGATCTTGCTGTGGAATGTGTGACGCCAGTGGGGACAGGTCTAGTCTGGGATGAGCGGATGACAGAGTTTCGCTGCACGTGGGATGAGAGGTATTTGAGGTGAAGGGTGGACATTTCTGGATTTCCTTCCAAGAATCTCTTCCAAGGGGATTGTAAAGGGGTGGAGTTGTTGAGATGGATGAGGCATCCTCAGTCCACTTAAAAGAGTTAGTGGTCCCATGATTCTCTGGGGTAATCATGTAATTCTGCTTTAAGTTGCTCCTAGATTTTTCAAAGAACAACACTTTTTTTATTCAGACTGCTTTTAGCCCCGTAATCTCAATCTCACAGATTTCTAATCCTAACTTTAAGCGTGTCTTCCTCAACCTGGTATCCCCTAGATATATTTAAGTACAAATTCCAGCATCCCCCAATCAGCTATGCTGGCTAGGAGATGTTGGGATTCTAGTCCATCATATTTGGAGGGGACCAGAGTAGGAGAAAATTGCCTTAGACTGTCTTTGTCCACCTCTCCTTTTTTAATCTCGGACCTGTTATTTTTCTTAGTGGATCATTTATGAAAAATTATCTACATTCTTTTTGCTTGTGCAGGGAGGGTGGTTTGTTTTAAGAATGCTAGAAATGCTTGAAGCTCACCCAAGCCAGGGAAAGATAAAAATCTAATAAATATCTCCCAAGGTTAAAAGTAGAGTAAATTGCTTGTATAAGAGAAGTTTGTATCTAAAAATACTCATGGTGTGTGTGTATATGTGCTGTGACATATGCCATAGAACATGACTTACAACAAAAGGATTATTACAGGCATAATCTTATGTCTGTCTGGACAGGAAAAAACCATACAACTTCCAGCATGTCCTAGGCTAAACATGCATGGGATTGTTCCCTAAAGAAATGAATGGAAGGTCCAATTATTGAATGCTATTAGCCATCACAGGTAAATGGAGGAGAGGGAAGACTTATGAATACAAGAGGCTGAAAGGCAAGTAAGCAAAGAGGGCTGTTGGCTTCCTGCCTTGCTGGTAGGCTTCTTTCTGGTTGCAGCTGATGGGCCCTGGTAGAAATCGTATGCTAGACTGCTCTCTAATCCATGATGGCTTGGCTTTCTTGAATTGAAGGAACAGAAAAGCCCTGCTGGATCAGAGTAAGGATCCATCTAGTCCTGCCCTCGTTTCACACCATGGTCAGCCAAATGCCTGTGGGAAGCCCACAATCAGGGCATGAGAGCACAGTTCTCACATTGCCTACCAGCTGATACTCTGCCTGTGACCCTGGAGGTAGCATATAACCATCAGGATTGGCAGTTATTGCCAGCTTTCTCCCCCACGATTCCCTTTTAAAGCCATTCAAATTCGTGGCCATTGCTACTTCCTATAGCAGTGAATTCCATGTTTTAATTTGGCACTGTGCAAAGAAGCCCTTCCTTTTATCTGTCCTTAATCTCCCACCATTCAGCTTCTAATATTATGAGAGCAGGAGAAAAACAATTCCCTATCCGCATTTTCGTCACCAGGAGTAGTTTTGCACACTTCTATTGGGTCTCCCCTTATTCATCTTTTTTTGAAGGTGCATTTAGTGGAGCTTAGTTCTATCTGAATTAGTATGCTTAGGGTGGAACTGATCCCTATATACTTATATTTGCCTTCACTTCAATGATTTAGGTTGCACACTTCCTGGGAAAAAGTCCTACTGGATACAGTGGGGCTTACCACTGAGTAAATTTGTATATGTTTTCCTGCCCTGTCAAGTGTTGGACTTGATGACTTTTGAGATACCTTTCAACTCTGATTGCACAGCCAGGTTTTTATTATGTTTTGCTTTCTGCCTAATGATTCAGGCAGGCTGTACACCATTATTATTAAAAATGTCTCTTTTATATTCATGCATTTGGACTTCTTTTCACACCTGATTTTTCGGGATGGGGAGAACAGTTTTTAAAGATGGGATGTCCTAAATACCAACGAATTAGTGCCCTGAATAGTTGGCTTCGTTGGTAAACTAAACTGGCTGAACTAGTTTGCCCTCTCCCCTGCCCCATTTCCTGAAATGCAGTCCTGCAAAGAAAATCATGTGTCTGACAAAACACCAGAGCGTACTTCCAGAGTGTCCTTCTCCAGGGTTTTGTTTTGGGGGGTTTTTTGGGCCCATCTATATGCACTCTAGGGACTGCAGGTGGCGCAGTGGTTTAAACCGCTGTGCTGCTGGGCTGGTTGATCGAAAGGTTGCCAGTTCGAATTTGCACAATGGGGTGAACTCCCGTTGCTCCGTCCCAGCTCCTGCCAACCTTGCAGTTCGAAAGCATGCAAATGCAAGTAGATAGAAAGGTACCACTTTGGTGGGCAGGTAACAGCATTCCGTGCACTTCGGTGTTTAGTCATGCCAGCCACATGACCACGGAGACTGTCTGCGGACAAACGCTGGCTCCCTTGGCTAGGAAATGGAGATGAGCACCGCCCCTTAGAGTCAGGCATGACTGGATATAAAATCAAGGGGAAACCTTTACCTTTATATGCACTCTAAATTAAGGCCACTACCCCATGCATGTTTGGGCAGAAAAAATCCTGTGGCCTGATGTTACCTTATGATTGCTTCTACTGATGTTTGCATGCTTTAAGAAAGATTGGGGTGAGAAGATGGGAAAAGGTGTCTTGTTTCAAATGTTCTTGCTAAAAGGGTACGTAGTCCTTGAGCCCTGTTGGACTAACTTTCCCATTATGCACCCTGCCTATAAGAACTTTGAGAGTCTAACATATGTTTCCTAATTCCACAACCATTGATTATTTTTTTCCTGGCAGCAGGGGGAAAGTACCCTTGGTTTGGATGCGGGTAAATATATAATCCTGATCTTACCCCTTTCTGTGCTGCCTGTAAATCTATGGTGGTTTTTTATTTCATCCCACACAGCTCACTCTTCCAATGTAGTCTTGACACAGTCTCATTATTTACCCTCTGTCTGGTGCCCATGATCCTATCTCTCCTTCCCGATTCTTCCTGCTGCCCATAATAAGCAGTCGCAAGACTGCCCTTGCCATCATATCCTCTATTTCTTCTCCATTTGTGGAACCCCAGTCCTGAAACAATCATCTTCCTACAGAGTACAGTGTTTCTTAAACTCTGGCAAGGATTTCCAATGACTTAAGCAGGCATTGCCTGTTTTTGTGGAAGGAATCCCCATGCTGGATGCTGTGGAGCTTATATCTGAGCAAGCATGTATAACAGTGCACTGTTCATGAATTTTCTTCATCACTGCTGTCAGCTAGAGGAGAGCATTCTTGCCCTCTCGCTACATGTGGGGGCAATTGGTTTGCTGCTGCAGTGGCGGATGGAAAACCTTTTCAGTGCTTCAGAATGCTAAAATGATCTGGGTTTTTTCTCCTCCTGTAGCTTATGAACTGCGTGTTTCACACCCTGTCCTAGAACCTAATCGGATACACCTGCCACTTCTCCCCTGATTCCTACACAGACAAGTTTCCTCTGCCATTACACACATTACCAGAATGTACCAGAATACATTGTTGTAAGCCGCCCCGAGGCTTCGGCGAATGGGGCGGCATAAAAATGTTTAAATAAATAAGTAAGTAAGTAAGTAAAAGAATAGCATAGAAACCGCTTCCAGGTTACTGGATTCAACAAAAGCATGTGGGGTAGGAAAGATAACTTAGAACTGGACCAAACTGGCTCCTTCCAACCCATGTTCTCGGCTCTGCCCAGCAGCTTCCACACAAAGAAAATGCTGGAACTTTTATAAATTCTTATTTTGTATACTTGAACCATCCCCTAACTGCAAAACATTTCCTTGCCTCTTGGGGAAGAAAGGAGTGAAGAAGGCTCTTTTTCTCTCCATGATATATTTTTTTTCTGCATACAGAGTTTTTTATGGAAGAGGTTTCTACATGGGAACATTCAAACATGTAATGTTCGTGCCAGCAGCCCTGTGTTCACTCTAAGAATTGCAAGGCCAGTCCTACCATTAGGCAGAACAAAGTGGCAGGCATTTGTAAGCCTTTCTGCCTGAGGTGCCAAAATAATTTGACCTGCCCTGGGTACTAGGCATCTTGATCAGGGAAGCCATTTAAAGCTCTCCCTCAGATGGTGAAATAACTTCTGCCATCTCGAGTTGTCATCCTCATCCTGAGGTAAATGAGCCTGCAATATCCTGGCACCATTGTACCTCCCTCTCGAGGGCCTAATTTGGAAAACCCTGGCATTGACTGTTTATAGGCCTGTTGCCAGCAAGCCAGAATGATGGAATATAAATCCACAAGAAATGAATGAGTGGAGAAGTGTTTGAGAAGCACCAAGGCTGCAATCCTGAAAGGGAGTAAGTCCCATTGAACATTGTGGGGACTTCCTTCAGAGTAAATGTGCACGGGATTGTTCTGTGACTTTTCCCTATTTCATACCTCTCCATGATACATTCTTCCTATATCTATGCTGCAATCCCTCTTGGCTCCATTCCTAAGGGACCATTTTGAAATCTTTTTGTCCACCAGTGTCTTTAAAATAAATGACCAGTTCCATATCACAGTTAGGTTTGATGCTTAAAATGTCAATTTTGCTAAGAAGAGCTCTGAGAGATATAAAGATGAGGAGGTGATGGGAATTGGTAGGGACACAAAGAGAGGGACTGGAGGTACTGCTTTCAGAAAGCCTGAGAGGAAGGAGACTGTGTTATTTGGATATCTTAACTCCCTCAAGTACTCTTGCATAGACAAACCTGATTTGGTTGTGGGCATATTTTGTGTGAACTTTGAGTTCCCCTTTCTTGTGATGGACCAGAACAGAGAGACAGAGAGGGTTCAGAACGCAACTTACTAGTAGGTGCATTAGAACACAATCCTATGCAAGGATAGACAGAAAAAAGACCTACAACTCCCAGCATGCCTGGCTAGCTAAGATGAGAGTACTGGACCCTTTTTCCTGTCTAAACTTGCATAGGATTGCAGCTTTAGAGACACAGTTTAGACATGGTGCTATGGCAGTAGAGAAATACATGTGGCCTCATGCTATTCCTGGATCCAAACCAAGACCTCTTCTCCATACTTCATGAGGTCTAGAAACATATTCTGTTCTTAGCATAGCTCAGGCCTGACACATGTCTGTGTGAGCTACCAGTTTCTCCATAAACTACCATGCTCTTCCCTTCTTGGTGTGAGCTTTGGTATGCAGATTCAAGGGCCCACAACCAGGAATACTGCAAGTAGATTCTGATTGTGGTCTTTGCTCCTCAGTGCCATAATCTGCTACCCTAACATCTGCTTTCCTTCCACTTTAAGTCCAACTCCTTTTGCACTCTTTTTCCTGTCTCTTCTTTTTAAGCCATGTGCCTATTCCCTGCTTCAGTCATTTGTTTCCTTGCTCATCCTTGCTTGTTTTGCTGTAATCTTAATCTGCCAGATTAAAGGACTGGGAACTTGGTAAAGATTGCCAGCCTTCTTCTAATCAGGCATTGCCAGTTCCTGCCATGGCTGAAGAAGTTTCAATTGCACCTCTGTGTGTTTTATTCTGGCTGGATATTGTTTGGTCCTTTCTCCTCAAAAGGAGATCTATCCCCCATTCCCCACCCCACTTTTCTCCCAAGCCATCTCACCATCTTCTCCGGTTTAACATGTTTTGGTCTATCTCACATGTTCCTCTGTTGCCGCCTCTCCAGCTTCCCAGAATGCCCAGAGCGGCTGACAGCCATACGGGAGAAATTGCTGCACTGTAACCTGCTGGAGCGTTGCACCCTCATGGCGGTGAGAGGTTGTGGGCCGGACTGAGGGTGGGTGGAGGGACTGTTGCTGATGGGGATTCAGGCAGCAAATGGAAGGCTGTGGTTGGGACAGGAGTGGGAAAACTCAATTTGGAGTCCTAGCTGGGCCTTCCTACAGTCACCCAAAGGCCTTCCCTGCTTTCTTCCAACCACCAACCTTGGTGGTTTCCTTACTTTTGTGCCAAACTGAAAGGCCTGAGTGCTTCCCCTTGGGGTTAGTTCCAGGCAGAGGGAGTTTTAAGATAGAATATTCCCTTTGGTCCCACCCACCACTGAAATGATGCCAGAAACCCCAAGATCTCTGCAATTGGATTTAGCTCTCAGGCTGAAAAAGGTTCCCTGCTCCTGACTCAGAGTGCCAGATATGGGCTGGAGAGAGTTGGGTTCAAATCCTCAGCTAGGAAACTGTGGCTGGTCATGCGCTCTCAGCACAACCCAGTGTGTCTCTACCCCCATTAGACATTATTTTTGCCCCTGGCTCCATTTGGTGGTTCTGAGAGTTCCAGTAAAACACAAAGTAAACCTTTGCAGGCCTGAAACCTGCCAATGGTTGACCTAATCTAGCAGAGCAGTTTTTATAACATCAAAATTATAAAACATCAGTTTTTATAACCTGAGGGTTCCAGGTAGTCCTGTCAACCGCCCCCCGGGCCTGTCGGTGCTGCTGCTTAATGCCAGGTTAGTCCTCAATAAATCTTCCCTCATCCATGACTTGATTGTGGATGAGGGGGCCGACCTGGCTTGCATTACAGAGACCTGGGCAGGAGGAGGGAGGATGTCTCCCTCTCTCAAATGTGCCCGCCCGGGTACATGGTCCAGCACTGACCACGCCTGGAGGAGAGCAGGGGGGGTCGCTTTGGTTTACCGAGCCTCTATTTCCCTCACGGGGCTTCCTGTTCTCTCGAGGCTGGGTCTAGAGTGCCTCTACTTGGTGTTGGGCAACTGAGACAGATTGGGGATTCTGTTGGTGTACCGTGTACCCTTCTGCCCAACAGACTCCCTGCCTGAGCTGACAGAGATCGTCTCGGACTTGGTGTTGAAGACTTCCAGGATGTTTGTCCTGGGAGACTTCAGTCTCCACACTGAGACTGTTCTGACCGGGACGGCTCAGGACTTCATGGCCTCCATGACGGCCATGGGGCTGTCTCAGCATGTCACTGGCCCAACCCATGAACGTGGACACACTCTGGACCTGGTTTTCTCGACGGGACAGGAAGAGGGGGATTTGAGGGTGAGGAACTTGTGTCTGACACCCCTGTCATGGTCAGATCACTTCCTTGTAAAGTTTGAGCTCGAGAGCGGCCTTTCCCTCTGTAAGGGTGCAGACCCGATTGTGTTGGTCCGCCCCCGGAGCCGGATGGATCCAGATGGATTCCTGAAGACCCTGGGGGATTTCCCGGTTGATAAGGCTGGTGCTACAGTCGATGCCTTGGTCGAACTGTGGAATGGGGAAATGACCAGGGCTTTTTACACGATTGCTCCTAAGCATCCTCTCCCGCCTGGCAGAGCCCGTTCATCCCCCTGGTATACACCCAAGCTACAGGCAATGAAGCGGGTTGGGAGACGTCTAGAGCATAGGTGGAGGAAATCACAGGATGAATCTGACCGAGCACACTTAAGAGCCCATTATCGGGCCTATGCTGTGGCAGTGAGGGCGGTGAAGAAGAAATTCTTCTCCGCTTCCATAGCCTCCTCACAATGCCGTCCAGCGGAGCTCTTTCGGGTGGTACAGGGGCTGGTTCATCCAGGCCCAAAAAAAGATCCCGTGCCACCTTCAACAGCCCACTGTGACAATTTCGCCAAGCATTTCAAGGAGAAAATCACTCAGATTCGTCACGAGGTGGACTCCACTAGTGACTCAGAACCTTCGGGGGAGGTGCCAATGTTGCCATCTGGTCCACAATTGATGGATGAATTTCAGTTGTTACGGCCTGATGATGTGGACAAGGTGCTTGGACAAGTACATCCTACCACCTGCTTACTGGACCCTTGCCAATCTTGGCTACTCAAGAAAGCCAAGGACAGGATAGGGACCTGGATCCTGGAGGTTGTCAACACCTCTCTAAGGGACGGCCGGGTACCTGCCCCTTAAAGGAGGTAGTAGTCCGGCCAGTCCTAAAGAAGGCATCCCTGGATCCAGAGATGGCCGCCAATTGTAGACCGGTGGCCAACATCCCGTTCTTGGGCATGGTGGCGGCTGGTGGCGGGACAACTCGAAGCACTCTTGGATGAAACTGATTATCTGGACCCATTTCAGTCCAGCTTCAGACCCAGGTATGGCACTGAATCTGCCTTGGTCACCCTGTACGATGACCTGTGCAGGGAGAAGGACAGGGGGAGTGCGTCCGTGTTGGTTCTCCTGGACCTCTCAGCAGCTTTCGATACCATTGACCATGGTATCCTTCTGGATAGGCTAGCGGGATTGGGAGTTGGAGGCACTGCTTTGCGGTGGTTCCGCTCCCATCTCAATGGCCGATTCCAGAAGGTGGTGCTGGGGGACTATAACTCTGCACCATAGCAGCTATGCCATGGATTTCCGCAGGGGTCCATTTTGTCCCCCTTGCTATTTAACATCTACATGAAACTGCTGGGAGAGGTCATTAGGAGGTGTGGGCTGTGGAATCATCAGTACACTGATGATACCCAGCTCTACCTCTCATTTTCAACCAATCCAGGTGAGGCAGTGGCTGTACTGAACCGGTGCCTGGCCGAAGTAATGGGCTGGATGAGGGCCAATAAACTGAAGCTCAGTCCAGACAAAATGGAGGTCCTGTTGGTAGGTGGTTCGGGCTTCAGGGTGGGGGACCTGGACCTTGTCCTGAATGGGGTTGCACCCCCTCTTAGGGACAAGGTTCGCAGCTTGGGAGTGCTCCTTGACCCAGAGCTGTCATTAGAAGCTCAGGTGATGGCAGTGGCGAGGAGCGCTTTCCTTCAGCTTTGGCTGATTCATCAGCTGCGTCCCTACCTGGAGAACGATTGCCTGGCGACAGTGACACATGCACTGGTAACTTCCCGATTAGACTTCTGTAACACGTTCTAGGTGGGGCTACCCTTGAAGACGGTCCGGATACTTCAGTTGGTGCAAAACAGAGCTGCCAGGTTGCTGACGGGGACTGGGTGTTGTTCCCATATAACCCCAGTTCTCCGTCAGCTTCACTGGCTCCCCATTGAAGTCTGGGCCCAATTCAGGGTGTTGGTTATGATCTATAAAGCCCTCAATGGCTTGGGACCTGGTTTTCTAAAGGAATGCTTGCGTCCATATATGTCCTCCCGCCCCTTGAGATTGGCAGCAGTGGCCCTTCTCTGGGAACCTTCCATGAAAGATATTAGGAAGGTGAGTACCCAGAGGAGGGCCTTCTTTGCGGTGGCGCCCCCACCTATGGAATGCGCTCCCCAGAGAGGTCCGTCTGGCGCCGTCGTTATTTGTTTTTCGGTGCCAGGCCAAGACCTTTTTATTTAAAAGTTATTTTAATTGTTAATTTATGAATTGTATTTATTGGGTTTTTATGTACATGCCAAGATGTTTCCGTTTTTTTAAGTCTGAGTATATGGCTGTTTATTTGTGTTTATTTATTGATGTTGTAAGCCGCCCCAATGCTTTTTGCGAATGGGGTGGCATAAAAATGGTTTCAATAAATAAAAAATGGAGAAGGGAGTGATCCATGAACATGGCCTGAGATTGCTTGAGGAAATGGCAGTGTTAAAATAAGAACTGTGGAACAGGAAATCTGGATTTCTTCTGGAAGCTTTTATGTCCTTATTTCTCTGTACAGGCTCGTGAAATTTCTGAGGAGGAGATTCTCTTGGCTCACAGGTAAAAGTGGAACTTGGAGCTGTGGGATTGCTGGGCCACGGACATGCGGGGGAGAGGCAAAGATCAGCTACAACTAAATGTGCAGCCCTGCTGATGTGTAGTTTATTTTTTTTTACAGTCCGGAATACCTGGCCCTGATGAAATCAACAGAAACAATGAGCGAGGCTGAGCTGAGATCTCTGTCAGACACATACGATTCTGTCTACCTGCACCCAGTGAGTATCAAGCTGTGCATTTCTCACATTCACCTTCTGCAAACTGGCACCCTTCAGATGCGCAGGACTACAGATCCCAGCATTTCCTAGTGTTCTGCCCCCTGCAGTAGGTTCAAGGTGCTTTGGAATCCCAAGGAAAGTGACAGGTGGGACTGGGTTTGCCTACAGGGAGATTAACTCCCTGAGTCAGTTGAGAAATTTGCAGAGCTTGCATTGCTCTCAATCACAAGGCTCCCCTCAGTTGCAGCAGGGGGTCAGCAAAGCCTGCTGCTCCAAGCAAGCTGTCCGAACAAAGAGGGTTTGGGCCAAGCACCCAGTTACCCTCTGTTTGCTGCTAATGCCACGAAGTCTTGCAGTTTAACACTAGCAAAGACAGCATGCAAGTGTCTCACCCTAGCAAGTCCAGCAGTAGCTGGGTGAGCAGGATTACAGGGTGACCTGGCAGGTTCCCACAGGTACCCCATATAACTGGAAGGGAAGCTAGTCATGTACTGGCATGCAGGCCTTGCTATGTACTCTGATAGCAAACCACCTGCTCTTGCATTCATGCTGGTGGTATGAGGCGTCCTTTGTCCATCTTCTCTGCTGAGCCAGGCTTTTTAGCAGAGCTAGACAAGAGGGAGGCTTTGCTCACAAAATGGAAGACGCCCAGACAGCATGTTCTCTGAGGAAGGCTGTTCTACATGGAATTTGCTATCTGACGCACAGTCTAACATGCTGAATTTTAAAGAAGTGTATTTGTTTTTCAAAATTAAGCAAGCATGTTAAACATGCATGCTGAATTGGATGGATGGATGGATGGATGGATGGATGGATGGATGGATGGATAGATGTTTCTGGTCCTTGTGGTTAGAGTTGCCCATAGAGTACTTCTTGACTCAGAGGTGGCATTCCTGGCATGTCTGCACAAACTTCTGCTGATTTTACCAGCTTGCAAGGTGCAGCACAGTATTTGAGAACATTACACTTCCCGCCCTGATGCCATATATGAGACACTTTGGCATGAAAGGTGGGTGTGAATGGACTTGTGTGGCAGCAGGACTGGAAACTGCTAAAGCAATAGTTGCAGTCTGGAGCAGGCATCCTCCTGCACAGAACGCCTGGAGAATTTGTAGACACATCTGCTAAAAACTATTCAAAAGCCAGGGGGCCTCTGATGGCATTTCAAGGCCTTTTGTGGCTTCTTGTTTCTTCTGCAAGGCTATAACATCTTAATTCCCTCTTCCCCCAGCTTTTTCCCATTTTGCTGTATCCTCAAAGAAAGAAAAAGTTCTCTTTTGTAGTATAACAAGAATTCTGTTATGGCTGACTGGTAGAATTTATTCAAACAATGTACCGTATTTTTCGCTCTATAAGACGCGCCTGACCATAAGATGCACCTAGTTTTTAGAGGAGGAAAACAAGAAAAAAAATATTCTGAATCAAATGGGCACATAATCACAGGCACATTCCCCATCACTTCCCCATGGGCTGCACATCTGACAGACTTACTGCACACACATATTCGATCTATAAGATGCACAGACATTTCCCCTTACTTTTGAGGGGGGAAAAAGTGCATCTTACAGAGCAAAAAATACGGTAACTTTTCTTGTGCTGGGGTTCAGAATTCAAGATTCTTGTTTGTTTTGCTATTTCATGAAATCACTAGGGCGGGGCCATCCTGGAGTCCTGGTGGTCACACCTCCCACTTCCTTTCTACCCAGTCCTGCTTGCTTGGTGGTTTCCAGTTTTGGGGCACTTCCTTCTCATTCCCAATCTAAAGGTTGAAGTGCCCTTCTAAGGCTTAGGTACTGCAGCAAGGGCATGCTTCCACTTTTGGCCCTTTCCTTTGGCCCCCAAGCTTCCCACCACTGGGATGCAGCCCCTGAGAGCATCTTTGAAATTGAGTTTGGCCCTTGCCTGAAAGAGGTTCCCAACTGCGCTTGCAGTCAATGCACTTTGCTGTGGGTCCCCCCCTTCCCCCTCCTTGCCCTTTTTATTCTGAGATGGGAGGGGCCTACACAAGCTCTTTCTGCAGCTAGACCAGGAGCTTGGGGGTGGGATCAAGCCTGCGGCCGGGGCAGGTGTTACCAAGTCTGTTACTTCATTCTCTCCCCTATCAAGAATTCCTACCGCTGTGCCTGCCTGGCAGCTGGCTCCGTTCTGCAGCTTGTGGAGATGGTGTTGTCTGGGAAGCTCCGTAACGGCTTGGCTTTGGTCAGGTATGGCAAGATCAGAGAATCCCTCCTCTCTCTTCTCTCAACTTCTGTTTAAGCATCATGTTTCAAATACAGTCTTAGAACTTGGTAAATCACATGCATGAGTACCTCTCTCTTGCAGGTTCTCTGACAGGTGTGGGAAGGGGCAGGTTTCTCTGAGTGTGTTACACACATGCAAGAATGCCCAAGCTACCTTCTGATATTCTACTATCTTTCTCCCCTTACCCACCACTTGTCAAGCAAATTCTTCCTATAAACTGAAGAGGTAATGGGTTAGATTAGGTTTAAAAATCAACATTGGAGAATTTCCAAAGTTTAGCCAGAAGTAGACATTCTGCTGTAAATGCAGAATTGCCAGTGCTTTGCTTGTCACTGTGTGTGTGTGCATGCACATGCAAAATACACACATGCTCCCCTCCACATACTCATACTTCACAGCAAACATGAACTTGAGAGTTCCGTGTGCACTGCTGTTCTTTTCTGCCTAAGTTCTTTCTGACCTTTATAAAGATCACTTCACTGATGGTGCCTTATTTTTATTTCACTCTGATGCAGGATATGAAGCCTTTTCTTTCTGACCCATTCCTCTTTCTCTGTGCAACTGTAATGCTACTTGGTAATGTTTTGCCTCCAGCCCCTGTACAACTCTGGCACTTAATTCGAACATATCTGTTCCTCTGGCTTACTTGCTTCATCTTTCTTCTAATAATTGTCATAGCTTGGTGAGCATGCTGAGCTAATTTCCTCATAAATCCTCCCCTAAAGCTTATAGCAGAATAAATTAGCTTGCTGCCACAGGATTCTTAGAGTTCCCCACTCTCTTTCTCAGAAGTACAGATTCCAGGGTTCTTAGCAGGGTAAATAATTAAATGAGATGTTCTAAAGTCTGAGATGTAAATATACCTTAAAACACCTTGCCTCAGAAACCCAGTGGTGTGTAAATCTGAACACTTCCCAGAAGGTTTGTATCCAGCTGCTGTTGGCTTCCATACAGGAGATGTAACGGACTGTGGGCCTGATTTTGGGGGAGAATTTTATATTTTTATAACCTGCCCTGTTGGCCTGTGCATTGAAATGGTTGGCTAATAGCAGGGGCTTATACTGACACAGTGTAATGCCTGTTTACCTTGACCTCTTCTATCACTTGGGCTTTCAGTTATCAACCCATGAGTTTGTAGTTCTGGGATTAGTGAGGGTACTTTTGGGTTTCAGACCACCCGGACACCATGCTCAGCGCAACAAGATGGATGGCTACTGCATGTTCAACAATGTCGGCATTGCAGCTCAATATGCCCGGCAGAAATTGGGGGTGGAGCGGTGAGTAGTGTGGATCCAAGTAACGGGGAGGGGTGGGTCAGGATTGGCATTGCTGTTTCTTATTTGTCTAAGGTTTTTTAAATCTGTTTCCACATCACTTTGCAAACTCTATACAAAAAAGAAAATGCCTGCACAAAAATGTGTGCCATATTTACAAGCATTTCTTCTAAAATGCATGTGTATACATGCAGTTTTGTATGCATGCTTTTTCCAAGTGATTTCATTCTAATATAATACAGTTTTGTTCATACTTTTCCCTCATATATGCATTTTGTGTCAATTTTTGAGCTACAAATGGTAAATTCTGAAAAAGTAAGCACGCTCTGGTTCATATATAGTTTGGGAAGCTATGAACTGGGAAATTTGTATTTTAAAAATCAGACTGAGAAAATTTACCTCCATCCCTAGTCAGTGGCTCACAGATCCAGATTTGTTGCATGAAAGCCTTGTAGCGCATCCTGAAAAAGGTCCTAAGACTCCCAGCATTCCCTGGCCAGGGATAGAGCTACCAAACAATTCTGTGTTTGGCTCATCTAATGTGGAGCCCAGGGTGATGAAGCTACCAAAAAAGGAACCCTTGTAAGGTCCCTTGCGAGATCAGCTATAGGTCTTTGTCTCCTTTTTTTTTTTAAACAAAGAACCAAAGATGGGGGCAAGTTGTAACTTTATCCCAGTGCGTGAAGATGCAGTGGCCACCTGCATTGTGTTCATGCAGAAGATGGATAGTAATGCAAAATGCATTCACATTTCTATGGCTAGTCTAGCAAAAGAACAGCCAACTGTTCCCATCAGTCCTAACCAGTATAGCCAAACATGAGGGATCTTGAGAGTTACAGGCCAAAACATCTGGAGGGCCACTACTGCTTTACAGCTGCTGGCCATCCACCCAGGAGGAAGAAAGGGGGTGGCAGAAAAGGATGGCTGAATGAAAGAGCAAAGAGGTGACCTGGCCCTGCCTGCGGCCAGCATGCTGCTCCTGATAGACACCCTGTGAGGGAATGAGGACCCCAGCAGAAAACATTTCCTGGCCTAGAAGAACACCAGCACTGCAGACACAGATCTCCGCCATCCATGGTGCTGCTCAAAAAACTCTGGAAGCCGTTGTTTAGTGAGAATTCTGAAAACTCTTTTATTTGGGATCCTGGCCCTCTTTCAGGACAACAGTTCCCATGGTTCCTTGCGAGGAGGAGGCCTTTAACATTAAGGAAGGAGGTGAATGTGCCTTCTCAGAGGCTGAGTTGTATTTAGCTCTCTCTTCAGTGACCTTTCTTTCCCTGCTAGGGTTCTTATTGTTGACTGGGATGTGCATCATGGACAAGGTATCCAATACCTCTTTGAGGACAATCCGAGGTACGGAATACAAGAGTGGCCTTGAATTGGGGGGTGGGGACAGGTGAGGTGGGGGACTGAGTGAGTGGGAGTCAGCAAGGAGGAAGTAATCTAGTTTTAGGTTAAAAATAGACTGCAGCCAAACTACATTAAGAGGGCAGGGAGCCAGTGTGGTGTAGTGGTTAAGAGTGCAGGACTGGGACTCAAGCCATCTGGGTCTTAGTGCCCGCTCCTCCATGGAGCTCACTTGGTGACTTTGGGGAGTCACAGACTCTCAGCCCAATGTACCTCGCAGGGTTGTTGTTAGGATAAGATTGAGAGGAGCAGAAGCATGCAAGTCCCCTTGAGTTTTTTGGAAGAAAATAAATAAAAGGGGGATGAATGAATGGATGAATGTTCGCTCCTCTCCACAGCATCCTGTATTTCTCCATCCATCGCTATGAAGGGGGCACCTTCTGGCCTCATCTTCCGGAATCTGACTGTCATGCTGTGGGTAGTGGTCGGGGAGCGGGCTACAACATCAATGTGCCCTGGAACCAGGTAGGGAAGAGTACCAGATGACGTGCCCTGAAGGCTTACCTCCCTGGGGACTTAGAACTGGGGGTGCCAGTGCAGGTGGGTGAACCACTCTGGCTTCAGATTCCAGCTTAGCTTTTCGGAGGAAGGGGTAATTCACTGAGCAGATGCAGCAGGTTCTCTCTCCAACCCCTACCACTGCAGGGAGATCCTTCTTTTGCAGTTGCCTTGTATTTCAGCTGCTCAGTGTCCTATTGTGGTAGGTCAGGCTGACTCAAGCCCTCCTGAGGATTTGACTCTGGACCTCACAAGGTCAGAGAGGTGAAAGATTTAGGTCTGGTTATGTTTGGCATTCCTCAGTTGAAAACTGCTGAAGTCAAGGAATTCCCTTTCCATTCTATGTTGCGCATCTTTGCCTCTCAGCCCAGTTCAGTGGAGATCGAGGGGGTTTTAAAACAAAGAATCCATTTGTGCATGCTTTAAATGCTTGTGGTTTGGGGATCCCTTGCAAGAACTTAATGCTCCTTACCTATCCCTCTAGGCAGGTATGCAGGACGCCGACCACCTCGCTGCCTTTTTGCATGTCCTACTGCCTGTGGCCTTGGAGGTAAGAAACCCAGGAGGATGGCCCTTTGAAGAGCTGGGCAGCCTTTGTCTCTCGTGCTCGCTGCCCAGTTGTCTAGCAGCATAAGGCAAGCGTGGTTGAGTCACCTTGTAACATGAATGTCATTTGTGCATGTGCGTGAGTGTGCCCATGTTTGGATGCATATATGGAGACTGATTGCTCTCCCACAAAACAGCCTGGCTGGCAGAATTAGCTTCATTTACACAATAACCCTTGGTAGCCAAAAAGCAAGAAAAATGCTGATGGAGCATGGCTCTTTACTCATTAAGATTAAGGTTGCAATCTGATGCATGTTAAGGCAGAAACAAATCTGACAACTCCCAGCAACCCCAGTGGGGACTTTCAATCTCTTCCATCCACACAAGGATAGGATTGCACCCAAACCAGTCTCTGGAAGATGTTCTTCTTTAAAGCCTAATGAAACAGGATCCCTTCCTTTCTCCCCGCACCTCAGAACCCCAATTCTTCCGGAGTATGGTTTGTGCTCCTACCGGTACCCCATGTCCTCCCTGCCTTTGCTATGTATGCCCAAACCAAGACAGCAGGTTTATTTGAATGACAGACCTCCCTGCTTTTAAATGGGGCTGGAGTCACAGCAGCAAGGACAGTCCTGCAGAACTGCAGTCTGTGTTTTGTCCTGTGTGCATTCATGGAATCCCCTTCCCTGTCCATTCTAAATTTCAGCCTACATATCGATTTGTGGGGGTGGGGGGTATAACATCATCTGAGCAGACTTTGGGGGCCTTCCAAAACCTCTAGAGCAGCTTTGCTCACCCTGTTCTCCTTCAGATGTGTTGGACTATAAGCGCAGCATCTCCAGCTGGTTGAAGGTGATGAGAGTTTTTGCTGTAGTCATCTCGGGAGGCACCAGGTTGCAGAATTCCATTTTTTCTCCGGATTGGCTTTTCTGTGGCACCGACATTCTTCTCCTTCCTTGCACCTTCCCCATCCCTCTGTCCCACCACAGACATTTAGGGCTGCTTTTCACATTGCAGTTTCACACCTACCGTCACAGGGGGGTGCATCAGAAACGGCCTGTCTTCTGACACAAGCATGTGTCTGTCTGAATGGAACAGTTGCTGTGACAGGCAACCCTTAGTCCTGACTTACTTCCCTGATCTCTTTTTTGGAATCCATTGGAAATGCTTAAACCAGGGGCTTCCACATTTACTGCTTTGGTTCCCCAATACTTGCCCCCTTCACTTCCTGACCGGGTAAGAGAGAGGTCTAGGAATGGACCACTCTCTTTCAAGGAGGCTCTTGGTGTGTTGTCAAAACCAGCCAGCCAGAGGGAAGAGCAGATTTTGGGATAACCCTAGTGGTGATGCTTAGGTTTTGCTTTTTCAGTTCCAGCCCCAGTTGGTCCTGGTTGCTGCTGGTTTTGATGCTGCAGTTGGTGACCCCAAGGTAAGCAAATGTCTCCTGCACTTTCTAAAGAACACACTTTAGCCATTTTCGGACTTTCATCTGAAGGGAAACATTTCCTACCTAAACCTGTTGAGAACCTATTCCACCATCCCCTACCACTCTGAGGAGGGGAAGGAGGCACATTAGGGGCACCCAGTCCATATAGGATCAGTTGACTCTAGCTTTCCACTGCAAGAATGAAATCTGTAGAATTTGCCCACCCCAGTCCTGCAACCTTTTGATTACAGAGAAAGATTGGTAGCATTGCACAAGCTACCCTGTTTCAAGAGAGCATACTTGTCTGACTGGCCTGCTGCCCTCACTAAGCCTCTGATATCTGGCTTCTCACCTACCCTTTTAGAAACATGCCTAATTTATTCCTAATTTTGTTTCCATCCCCCACTCTCCCCATCTAGGATGTGCCCAGGAGAGAGGTACCAGAACAGTCCCATGAGGGACCAGGTCTAGCTGCAAGTCCAGTCCCACTCTGGACTCCAACTGGAGTAGTGTTCTCAGCTTGCTGGGACAGGAGGTTGGGGCTGCTTTTCTGCTCTCAGCATTTCATTCAAGCCCAATTAGTACCATAGGGGAGGGGACAGACCTGTTCTTACCTCCATCAACGAGGGGCAGCTATTTGGGGTGAAGAGTTCCAGGTTAGCAGCAGGGTGTGGGAAAGACAGGCAAAGGGCTTTCTTGCTGTCCTTCTTTGCACAGGCCCTTCCAGCCAACACTCTTTCTGTTGCGCTTGCCTAGATTTGGGGCAGGCCTGACCTCAGTGTGAATGCAGCTCTATCAGATGTGGGGACCTAGACTGCTTCCTCAGTCCTAGCACAGCGTGCAACCCAAGGCAGTACCCTGTCCTAGCCCAGGCCTTATTTGGGGTGCAGTGGAAGCATCAAATCCACTGTCTAACCTCTCCTGCCCCCTTTAAAGAATAAGTCCCTCAAGGTAGAAGTGACTTTTTCTCCCACCCCTAAATCTGTGCTGTGCCCAAAGAATAAACAGGAGAGAGTGAAGTGGACCTCCTTTGCACCATTAGGGGGAGATGGCAGCCACCCCAGCCTGCTTCGCTCACCTGACTCACCTGCTGATGCTGCTCTCTGGAGGCAAGGTGGTTCTGTCTCTGGAGGTGAGTAGTGACCTGCCCGTCCCTGCTGTGCACCATGGGTGAGGGAAGAGGGAATGGGTGGGTTTTGGAAAAGCAGCTCCCTGTGGATGGAGCTGTTCTTCATGAAACTGCTGAGCCTCTCCTTCTCCTCTTCCTCAGGGTGGGTACCATCTCCAGTCCTTGGCAGAAGCAACCTGTGCAGTCCTCAAGACTCTTCTTGGAGACCCCTGTCCTGTGCTGGAATCGCCCCTCATCCCATGCAGCAGGTGAGAGAGGTTCCCTTTTCTGCCTCCTCCCTGCCCCTGCTGCCATCACCCCAAAACCCAAGCTCCTGCTGAACTCCTGGAACTTTTGTTCACCTTTCTCCCTGGCAGTGCCCTCCGTTCCATCTCCCAGACCCTGGCAGTGCACAGCAAGTATTGGAAAAACCTCCGGAGGATCAGTATGTATCTGAGCTTTTCTTCTCCACTTCCTCCAGTGATAAAGGCAGACCTAGGGAGCTTTGCTCCTGTTGGACCCCAACAGGGCGTATAGTGCCTTCAGCAGTCCTGAAGCTCTTTCCCCCTATGGCCATCAGGTGTGGATGCACCCCAGGAGGATGGAGGAGAGGAGGGTGCCACTTTTCCCCCAGCTGACCCCCTGACAGTAGCTGAGATCCTGTCCAGGGCAGCGACTGAACTGGTGCAACCCCGGCCCCCTTCCTGCACAGGGCTGGTCTACGATGAAAAGATGACAGAGCATTACAATATGTGGGACAGGTAAGAATGCACTTAAGGAGAATTTAATGGGACACTTGCACACTTCCCCCATGTTTTCTTGCTTTTGAAAACAGAGTTGTGATGCTGCTGGTTCAGTCTTACTTTGGCCATGAACCCCATGTGTGACTTTGGGTAACTCTCAGCATCACAAGCACACCCTGAGCTCCTGTCTGCAGTACAGAGGATGATACACATCTGCATCACAAGATTGTTGTAAAGGCTATTGACATAGTATATATGAAAGTGCTTTCAATGCATAATTGCTATAGGCACATGTATTTATTTTATTTATTTGTTAGATGTATATCCTGCTTTTTTCCTTACAACAAACTCAAAGTGGCTTGCATAATCCCCCTCTTCCTGCTCTGTCTTATCCTCACAGCAACCACACAGTGAGGTAGGCTGGGCTGAGAGCCTGTGACTGTCCCAAAGTCACCCAGTTGGTTCCATTGCTGAGTGGGGACTAGAACCCACATCCCCTGAGTTCCAGTCCCATGCTCTTAACCTCTACATCATGCATGACTTAATTTTTAATTCAGACTTCTTAGATATTTGAAAGGCATATCAATCCTGTCCATATACTCAGACATACATCAGGGATCCAATTCTAGTGTCCATCATCAAGATGTGTTATATTGGTGTGCATAAGAGATAGGGTCTTCTTGGGGGTGGCAACACTATGGAGTTCCCTGTTAACATGTTCCTAACCCTTTCTGTGCAGTTGTTTAAACAAGCCAGAACTATCCTGTTTAAAGCGGCTTTCAGTTGAATGTGTACCTGGGTTGTGAGGTCAAAGTAACCTTGCAAACTATTTGGTACTCTGGCTGGTGTGACAGCTGTGTTTTGCTGCTGACTGTAATCGTATGTTTGCATTGCTTTGAGAGCATATAGCCTTGAAGAGTGGCTACAAAGAAAGAGAATCATACATAAAATAACTTTCTAAATGATAAAGAGTCTGCTATCTCTCATGCTCTCATTAATATCCTCCCTTCTCTGCTTTGATGCTTCCCCTTCCCAGCCCTTTTCCTTTACTTCCCTGTAACCCTCCTGCTTCTGTAAACAAGAAGGCCATTCAAGGTGTGATAAGGAGGGCTCTGAAAGTGGTGGTGAGATCTTCCAGTCCTGCTTTTCTGCAGGAGTATAATCCATCTGTATCTTAAAATGAATAATAAGTTGTCTCCTAAATGCCATCAAGGCAGTGTACAACAGTTTAAAACACAACACCCAAGCATTTTAAAAGGCTAAATTGAAAAGAGGCATCTTTATGCCCTTTCTGAAGGCCAGGAGGCCGGGGGCAAATCTTAATTCTTTAGAGGGCTCATCCCATCATTTGGGGGCAACACAGGAGAAAACCCTATCCTGGTTGCTCAACAAATGGGTCCCTGCAGGTAACAGTGTCCTCCAAAGGGCCTGTCCTGCAGATTTTAATACTTGGCCATGTCTTTACAAAGCAGGCAGTTGTTTAAACAACCAGGGCCTGTGCCCATTAGAGCTTTCACACCTTGACCCAAGTCTGAAAAGCTCTTGGCGAACAAGGCAGGTAGGTCTCTGAGCGCAGGTGCCTCTCTTTGCATCCCCTCTCTCCCCCAGCCAGCATCCGGAGCTGCCTCAGAGAGTCTCCCGGATCTTCCAGCGCCACGGGGAGCTGCGTCTGACAGAGCGCTGCTGTCGGCTCCCAGCCCGCCTGGCCTCTGAAGAGGAGCTTCGGATGTGCCACAGGTTGTGCTTCTGGTCCTAGCAACATCTGGGTGGAATCTGTGGGTTCCAGGAAAGGCAGAGCTTGTGGGGGCGGGGGGTGCATGACTGTCACCTCCCTGGGCTTAGTACAAAACCCCCACCTATGTCCACAGAGAGCCTATCACTGCCAGTCAGTGTTGGCAGCACTGGGACAGATGGATTCGGGCCAATTCAGGGTGCAGCTGCTTCCTCTGCTCTTCTGCGGCTCATCCTGTGGGAAAAGGCCTGGACTCCATATCAGCCCTCCTCCTCTTCTCCCCAGCCTGGCCTATGTGGAGGAGGTGAAGTCGACTGCCGCCATGAAGCCCCGTGACCTGCACCGCCAGGGCGACCGCTACAATTCCATCTACATTTGTGCCAACTCCTACGAGTGTGCCCGGTTGGCCACTGGTTCTGCCTTCAGTGCCGTTGAGGCCGTGCTCTCTGGCAAGGTGAGCGCCTGCGGCTTTGCGGGGCTGGAGAGGGGCAGTGCATACCCCCCCTCAGTACTGTCCCCTCTAGAGGATATCAACATGGGGCTGGGCCAATCTTTTCGGACCACTTAAGTAGACCTATTTACTTATTTGACTGCTACAGTGGGCTGAATTTGTATCATTTTGAGGAAGGATCAGTTTGCAGCCTGAAAGCTGAACTGACCTTTGGAGCCTGTTTTCTCTGCCCCATAGCAATAACCTCGTCCCTAAAGCCCTTTGGTCACTCTCAGCAGGCTTAGCATGGCTGGCTGGCCTTTTCTGCAGTTCCAGAAGCGGGCTCCCAGCATGCATTTCAGGGCTGTGCTGATGTTCCATACAGCACTGATTCAAGCCTATCTCTTCCCACCACCTTCTTTTGGTCCAGCAGGTTCAAAACGCTGTGGCTATCGTCCGACCTCCTGGGCACCATGCTGAATCAGACACTGCCTGTGGCTTTTGCTTCTTCAACTCAGTGGCTCTGGCAGCACGATACGCGCAGCGCCTGGCTGGACAACCCATGAGGTAAGGTGGCCTGAGCATCCAGAAGCACAGTAAGCACACGACCTTTTGGTTTGTTACCCGTTCCCCAACAGAAATCCTGCAAATTGCATTCTCTCTGGCCTGGCAAAAGAATAGGCAGTATCCTGTACTGCCTGGCACTAGTGCAACAAGAAAACCCGCTTTCAGAAACTGGTGCTTACTTCAGGAAAGGGATGGATCAGCAAAGTGCCCAGAAGGAGCCGTGTTATTCTAGCAAAGTGTGTGTTCTTTTCCCTGGGTAGTTTTTGGAACTGCTAGTTCCTCTTGTGTGAGTGGTCAGTTCCACTTGTGCAAGAGAACCAGTGGAGGTACTATGGCAGGATAGGGTGCTGTCCAGTGTGGGGGGAACCACAACTTCTGGAATGGCATCTCAGCTCATATGATGAAGCAGACAGTGTCCACGAGCACTTGTGCCCTCATACATCTGCTGGCCTTTAGATGCCACAGGACTCTGGGCTGTTTTTATTATTTGTTTGTTTGTTTGAAGCGTTTGTATCCCATCCAACTACTAGCGTCTTGGGACAGTTTTACAATAAAAGAAACACAAAATGAAATGGAGCACAGCATCCAATACTTCCAGTATAATAAAACCCATATTAAAACCTATTAAATGTTAAAGTAATGGAAAAATAAAAAGGGTTTTGCCTGGTGCCAAAAGGAACAAAGTGTCAGTGCCAGGCAAACCTCTCTGGGGAGCATATTTTATAATTGGGGTGGCACCACAGAGAAGCCCCTTCTCCAGGTAACTGCCCTCCTAATCTCCTTTGAGGAGGGCTTCCAGAGAAGGACCTCCACCTTAAATCTTAGGTTAATAATAGTTAAGCTTCCTTTATCTGAGTTCGCAGTAGTTGCCAGTCTCATTTTGAATTCATTCCTCAGGGTGATGATACTAGACTGGGATGTCCACCATGGCAATGGGACACAACACATGTTTGAAGATGATCCCAGGTACTATTTGTAGTCCCTTTTCCCTGAAAGAAACTCTGACTCTAATACCTTCTGGAGTCGGGGATCAGGTTTTTCTTTCTTGCCAGCCTAGGGGTCAGCTTCTGTCTTGAGATGCTTGGTTTTCATTACTTTCCATAGAGGGCTTCCCCTCGGGGTTGAAAGACTTCAAAATTCATGAATCCTGACTCTACACACTTGAAATAAATCCTCCTCCTCCTCCTCCTCCTCCTCCTCCATTTTGTTGCTTTCCAGATGTGTTGGATTCCATCTCCCATTATGCAACTCCCAGCAATGAAAGGTGTTGTAATCCAATGCATGTGGAGGGTACCTAGTTGAGGAAGACTAAAATAAACCGAAGATTCTGGAACGATTTCTTTATTCAAATGTTTTCATCCCATTTTTCCATTAAAAAAACAATTTTCAAGGTGGCTCATAAAATACAGGAAAAATACATAAATACAATAAGTTAAAAATGTAGAACCATAGGCTTACATAATCCATGCTAGATAGGCAAGCATTAATTTTGGCTTGCATCTTTCTTGGTGAAAAGAGTTTTTAACTCCCAGCAAAGTCCCATTCTTGAAAAGAAAAACAGTTAAAACGTATATAGTTCTATTTTACTCAGGGGCCAGAATATCAGGATTGAAAATAATAGGTAATGATCTGATAGTGTGAGAGAGCAAAGAAAGAGGTATCAGGTGTTTCCAGACAGACAAACCAAAAAATCAATTGCCTTTCTCTCCTGAATGGCTTTTCTGCGGTGAGAGCAATCATGGGAAAACACAGGAAAGCTTATGTATGGAAAAAATTGTCACCTGGATCCTTGTAAAATTTCATAATTCAGGGTAATACAGCTATAGAAAAAGTTTGTTTGGAAGTGCCTTCATGCAAACCCTCTCTAAGGGAAGCATGGGGGAAAACCAGAAGGTGTTATGTGTTGAAAGGACCATAAACTCAGTTCTCCTGCTCAGTGAAATTCTTGGGGTGAGCATTTGCTTACAGGTAGCCTGTTCCTTAATTCAAAGATGCTTCCTTCACAGATCACCTCCCCTGAAGCTGCTATTTTGTACCACCTGAGTCCCAGGGCCCTAGTAAAGAAAGAGCTCTGAGAACTTGCAAGCCAGAAATCTGCTCGCTTCTTCCATTGCTTTAGATGGCTGTAGTCCCCTGCGGTCTCTAATCTTTTCAAAAGAAGCTCTCTGGTTAGAAACACAGAAACAGAGCAAGTCAGAAGGGGTCTTCTGGGCTATCTAGTCTGACCCCCGCCTCCACGGCTCTGCTCATGACATGCCCACCATGTGCATGTCCAGCCTGTCTTTGAACACCCTCACTGATGGGGCCTCAACCATCTCCTGTGGAAGCCCATTCCACACCCTTGGGGTCCTGACTGTCAGGAAGTGCTTCCTGGCATCCAAACGAAACCTTGGCTCCCTGAGCTTTGCTCCATTGGAGTGTGTCCTGCCTTCCTCTGCAGGGGAGAACAGGTCTCTACCCACCTCCATGTGACATCCCCACACATATCTGTATGTCGCCAACATATCCCCTCTGAGTCTCCTCTTCTCCAGGCTGAAAAGACCCAGTTCCCTCAGCCTCGCCTCATACGGCATCCCCTGCAAACCAGCCACCAACCTAGTGGCCCTACGCTGCACTGACTCTAACCTGGCTATATCCTTCCTGTAATGAGGGGCCCAAAACTGAGCACAATACTCCAGTTGCAGGCACACCAGAGTCGTATAGAGCAGTAGTAATACCTCTCTCGATCTAGAAGCCACACTTCTGGCGATGCAACCAAAGGTGCCATTCGCCCTCTTACACCGCATCACACTGCTGACTCATGTTTAGCCTGCAGTCAACCAGCACCCCGAGGTCCCTTTCACAAGTGCTGCTCTCCAGCCACTTGTCCCCTAACCTGTACTTATGACACCTATTCCTATGCCCCAAGTGCAAGACCTTGCACTTATCCACATTGAGTGCTGTCCTGTTGTCTCCTGCCCACTTCCATGGTCTGTCCAGATCCTTTTGGATCTGGAGAACTTGCTTCTCAGTTCTGGCCACTGCTCCAGTTTTAGTATCATCTGCGAATTTGATCAGCAGACTGTTCACCCCTTCTTCCATGTCATTTATGAAAAGATTAAACAGGATTGGCCCCAGGACAGAGCCCTGGGGGACCCCGCTTGTCACTGGCCACCATCCCGATGATTCCCCACTCTGCTTTTGGTCAGTCAACCATGCCCTAATCCACCGGACAGTGCTTTGGTGTATCCCAAAACTCCTCAGTTTCTCCACCAGGACATCATGGGGCACTTTGTCAAAGGCCTTGCTGAAATCCAGGTATACCACATCCACTGCATCCCCTCCATCTAGCCATTTCGAAACCTTGTCATAGAATTCCACAAGGTTTGTCTGGCAGGACCTGTTTTTGCAGAAGCTGTGTTGTGTGGCTGCCAGCTTCCCTTCCCTATCTAGCATCACTAGATCTCTCTCTATTATGAGCCTTTCCATTGTTTTTCCTACAATGGACGTCAGGCTAACTGGTCTGTAATTCCCCATGTCCCTTCTACTACCCTTTTGGAAAATTGGGACCACTGATGCCACCCTCCAGTCCTCTGGAACTTCACCCGTTCTCCACGAGGTCTCAAAAATGGAGGCCAGTGGGCATGAGAGAACCCCTGCCAACTCTCTAAGTACTCTCGGGTGTAACCCATCAGGGCCTGGCACCTTTGTAATGTCCAATGCCGAGGAGCCCTTCGACTTCTAGGGGTGTAACTCTAATCTGTGCCCCTAAGTCCCCAGCCTCATCTAATCTCCTATGCAGATCTCCCCCATCCTGCTTTGGGGAGAACACAGAGGCAAAATAGTCATCTAGCATCTGTGCCTGTTCCCTCATATCAGTCACTGGATCCCCTTCCTCCTTATTTAGTGGTCCCACTACTTGTCTCCCCTTCCTCTTCCTATTTACATGCTGAAAGAAACCCTTTTTGTTGCTCTTGATATTCTTGGCAAGTCTCAGCTCGAAATCAGCTTTAGCCTTGCGAAGAATCCTTTTGCAACAGGCCTCCTCCTCCCGGTATATCCTTTTGTCTATTTGCCCTAGTACCCATTTTCTACAGAGGTTCCTCTTTCATCTAATCCCTCTAACCACCTCCTTTCGCATCCATGGCGGCGCTCTCCTCTGCCTCCCCGCCTTACTAACTAGAGGTATCGTCAAGGCTCGCTCCTCCAAAACCTCCCTTTTGAGTGCCATCCACCCCTCCTCAAATCGCTTACCTTCCAGTAACCTATCCCAGGAGACTCCCCGCTCCCCCCCCCCCGTCTAGCCTTCAGTTGGCCAAAGTTGGCCCTCTTGAAGTCCCAGCTTCTAGTGCTCGACCTGCTGCACGTCCCCAGTCCCCTGATCTCAAAGCAAAGGATGGAGTGATCACTCGCATCCAGAGCTCCCCTAATCTGTACTTCATCTGTCAGCTCCTCTCTATTGGTCAAGACCAAGTCAAGGATGTTCCCCTCCCCACCCAGTCACCTCTCGGACCTTCTGTGAGAAAAACCCTCCCTCTATAACTTCTAGGAAGTGACATGACCTGGCTATCACCGCTGAGTGAGTTTCCCAACTAATATCCGGGAGATTGAAATCTCCCATAATTACTGTGTCTCTCTTCCGAGATATCCGTAGAATCTAGTCTGTCAGGACATCATCCACGGTCTCAAGTTGACCTGGAGGGCGATAACATACCCCCACTGTCAGGTCTCTTTCCCTGTCAAGACCCCTAATTTTCACCCAGACTGCCTCTACCAAATCCCCATCTGTGCTGCATTCTATCTCACTGCATTCTATCCCTTCCCTGACATATAAAGCTACGCCCCCACCCCTCTTTCCCTTCCTGTCCTTTCTAAAAAGGTGATACCCCTCTATGTTCACATTCCAGTCTTGCCTTTCATCCCTCCAAGTTTCTGTGATTCCCACCAGGTCATACCCTCCTATTCCCAGGAAAGCTTCAAGCTCTTCCTGCTTATTACCCATGCTTCTAGCATTGGTGTACATGCACCTCAGCTCCTTCCCACCGCTTCCTTTCCTTGGAGTTCCCAGCCTCCTTCTTCCTCCCATCCACCCTGATACCTGGCCCCTCTCTGTAGGAGTCCTGTCAGTCCCTGCAGTACCTCTAAAACCCTGCTCCCAGAGCTTTGATCCTCTCCCCACACTTGTCCAGTGCAGTCACGTTTCTGGGGGGCCTGAAACCCCCCCCCCCGGCTCAGTTTAAAGTCTTCCAGACGAAGCTTGCTAGAGCATCTCCAAAGGACCTTTTCCCCATGCTCGTGAGGTGCAACCTGTCCCTTGCCAGAAGTCCATTGGCAAGAAACCAGGTGCCGTGGTCGAGGAACGCAAAGCGTTCCTTCTGGCACCACACTGGTTGAAGCAAGAGCAGTTTGCAACCTTTTCCTGAACTTGATGATGGCACAAGGGTGACAGTGCAATTTCTAAGCCTCCTAGTATGGCAGTTGGGAGGTGCTTAAGGCAGGCAAAGCATGCATCCTTTTCTTCTCTGTGATGGCTTTCCATTTCCTACGTAGCATCCTGTATGTCTCCCTCCATCGCTATGACAATGGGATTTTCTTTCCCACCTCGGAGGATGCAGGCTATGACCAAGTGGGGGTGGGGCCCGGCAAGGGCTTCACCCTCAACGTGCCTTGGAACTGCCCCCGCATGGGAGACCCCGAGTACCTGGCGGCCTTCCACCAGGTGATCATGCCTGTTGGCTATGAGGTAAGTGAAGTGGCTCCCAGCTGGTGAAGTCTGTGGAGGGATGGTTGGGACAGCACCATTGCAGCACTGTCTGTGCTTAGAAAAGCGGAAGCCTGGGGGAGAAATCAAAAAGATGAAAGGAAATGAAAAGCAACTTTTCCCCGATTTTTTCCCAAAGGTTTTTTGGGAAGTTTTGGAGGAAATTTTTATTCCTGGAGATTTTTTTGGTTTTGTTTCCTAGTCTTCACATCTCTGTCCACACTAAAAATAGGGAAGGGAGAATGAGCAATGTTTGAGTTCCCTGAGGTTCTCCATTTTCCACCTTGATTCCACTATTGACTTATTCTCACTCCTAAATGCAAACACATTTTTCTCTCAATGGGAAAAATATGCAGATTTAGCAGAAAAAACCACACACTATTCTGAACATGTTCCCCAAATGTGGGCTCCTTTCCTTAGGCTAAACTGCCAGAAAATGTGTTCTAGGGGTATTCACATCTTAATTTTACACATGTGCATCTTCAAATGGGAATGCAAGCTCAAGACGTTGTTTACATTTGAGGCTGGGAAGTGTTTGAATGATTTGTGAACCAGAAAATCTTAGGGATCCCCAGCTACAAACTGGATCAGCTTCATCCCAATTTAACCACTGGGCTTCTCCTGAAGAAGCCTGGGAGCTGCCATTCAGGGAGGGGGCAATCATTCTGTTAGAGGCCCCTGGCCAACACCACTGCTGTACTCACCCCATCAGCTACAAAAAGTTTGGTAAGCCACTTGAAGATTCATGGTGCAAGTGTGCCCTGAAGCTTGTGAGCAGCCAACCAAAAGACCCTGCCTGTTTTTCAGGACTGTTGCTTAGCATTTCTGGAAAACCAGCAAGCAGGGGCCAGACATGATACTGTCGGGTGCCTCAGATTATATTAGCAAGATAAAAGAAGAGCTTGTGCAGATGCACTTACACCAGTCTCAAATGGAAGTGACTCTGATGGTAATTGGAGGTGCAAATAGGAGGCAAGTGGTAAACCTGCAGCCCGTGGCCCAAATCCTTCTGATGCCTCTCCTTTCCTGGAACCACCTGTTGTTTGATTTAGGGATGCAGCACTCAGGCCTGGGGGCCACATCCAGCCATTCTCATTTGCTAGTCTGGTTGTTCAGAGTTCCCTAGATGGCCACACTCGTTCCCCTGGCCCTGCTTCCCTTACCTATTGTCCATATACAGTTTGTGGGTTTCCCAACCTTTGTGCATTGTTTACACCCATTCTAAAAGGCTGATATGTCTCTGAAAGAGCTTTAAGCTACAATATGCTGGTGTGTTCAGTGTGTGGTCTGACACTTTTGCCCAGCTCTCCACTGGATTGGACCCCCTTGAGAGTTTCTCCAAAATTGAGGTGGGGGGCATTAAAGAGAAAATGCAAGGGAAGGGAAAGCTATTGGAAGAGGCATGGGGTATGAATCTTGACACATCCAAGGGGAAGGAAAGAAAGGAGGAAAGCAGCAGGCAAGCTGGGGCTGCTGGCTTTGGCAGCCGTGCATCTCTCGTGTCATTGTCTGAGAAGCTCAGGCTCCTGTGGCAGCCCTTTGATCCTGTGCCAGAAGTGGTCTCCCACGCTCCGCAGCCAGTCATGCATCTGCCATTGTTTTGGTCAGGGCAGGCCTCATGTCAAGAACCCTCCACCTGTGATCTGTTCTGGCCTCTGGCCCAGGAAAAAAGGGAGTGGCAGAGGAAAAGAAAGAGGGGAGAAGGAAAGCAGGAGGGAAGGAGTTCAAAGCTGTCCACCTAGGCTGTGGCCCAACCCATTGCCAGCATGCGACCCTCAACAGAGACAGGTCTCCTGGCCTCTGATCTAGAGGGGCACGTGGAGGTGGCCGTAAGCCCTAAGGAGCTAGAAAAGCGAAGGCCGCAACAAGCCACGGCTTCCCATCTTGCTCCTCCAGTCCTGAGTATTCACAGTGACTGCTTTTGTGTTGCAGTTCAATCCAGAGCTGGTTCTGGTTTCTGCCGGATTTGATGCTGCTCGGGGGGACCCACTGGGTGGGTGCCTCGTTTCTCCGGAATGCTACGCTCACATGACCCACCTGCTCTTGAGCCTGGCAGGCGGCAAGGTGGTGCTGGTGTTGGAGGTACGTCGAAATGCGGCTTGTGAGCCAGCCCTGGGGCAGAGAGATCCCTGGTGCTTCTGAAGGGGTGGGAGGACCAGGAAACAGGGCAGGGGCTGCCCCCAGTGGCAAACATGGTATGAACAACAGACAGATGTGATTGCTGCACCTGTCCCTTGCAGAGGTGCTTCTGGGACTCCAGGGATGTTCAAGGAGAAACAAGATGGTAAGAAGAGGGTTAGGTGCTCCACACCCAGACTGCTCTTTTTCTCCATTTAAGGCACTTCCACTTTCCAGAGAGAGGGGGCTGATGGGAAGGGAGCTGCAGTGCAGCTGCCAGGTCTCTGCCCTTGGCTGTTCCTCATTCCTAGGAGGAAAAGTAAAATGCTGTCCTTGGAGATCTTGTTGCTGCAGGGGCCGGACTTCAGACTCCATCACCCAGCCCACACTGGTGGAGATCCCTTAGACCATGGGGCTGAGAGTGATGGCAGATGCAGGAGTCATGGCATCCCCCCACCCCCACTTTGCCATGGCAGTGCCTGCTCACTTTGCTTGTAGCAGAATAATCCTCATTTGCCCTCAAGCCATTTTTCATGAGTGAGTAGACAAATTTCTGCTGTTTCTGCACGTGCCCAGCCCTGCCTCCTCTGCTGAAGAGAGCTGGTATATGTAGCCAATGTGCACTGAGAACAGGCTACAGATCAGGAAATCTCTGGTCTGAATTTTGCTTCTGTCATGAGCCTTTAGGCGAGCTTGATTTCTCTGTATTACCTTCGGAGCCTGGTCCAGCCACAGCACCACATTTAGATTTTAGGACAATAGGGAAGAAATAAAAGCACTTGTGTGCAAGATAGCCATGTTTATCAAAGACAGCGAATAAATATGCTTGCAGATTATTAACAAGCAAAAGAAAAGCTCCCAGACTTCCCTCAAGTCACAGGGCTTCTGAGTACAATCAATGTCACTCCTGAGACACTAGGTAATTTGTCTAAACATTTGCATGCTCTTTGAAGCAAGAAAGCCAAAGAGCAAATTAGCCAATGGAGGTTTTTATCAATATCTCCCTAAATGCTAGATGCATCCAGTGGGGAAAAGGAGGGAGGGAAAGAAGAGGTGCAGTTACCCAGTTAACTTCTGCAGGACGGCGTGGAAATGTTGGTGTCTCAAGGATGCAGAAAGGTATTTGGAGCAGCTGGCAGCTGAGGCTCTGGCTGCCGGGTGGCTTTTTCCAGCAAGGGCTATTCCACAGCTTGTATGGCAGCCCTAAAAGCCCATGCTGCCCTCTTCTCATCATAGTGTCCTCCAGTTATTGATCCCTGTATACCTCTACCACCACCACCATCTTAAGATTTCTTAGACACCTTTCTTCAGAAAGACTTGAGGAGACCTAAAACAAAAATAAAACATAGACTCCAAAGCTAAAATGAGATAAAACAGCAATCCACTAAAAGATCAGCACCACATAAAATAGTTTCAGCATGGCTATAATAATACTGACCCACCTTATAAGATTGCTATGAAAGCAAGGCAATGTCTGTGGTGTTTTGACTACTAAAGAACTGTGTCGAGAATTCCTATTTCATCTCCCACCCAAAACTACCTTTTTCTTTTTTTGGGGCATTCAGGGGTGCCCCCCCCTTTCCATCCCTCTTGAGCACATTGTACCCAGCCTCTTCATAGCACTACAGGGAAGCTGGTTTTGCTCTAAATTTCTAGCGCCAGAAGACGGTGCCCTGCATTTTCTGGAGCAGCTGGTTTTGATTTGCTACCTAGAAGCACAGACCATGAGGGCTGGAAACTGGCTTTTTGTATTTTGAAGAACATCAGGGTTCCTTCATGCTAGCAGGTTCCACATGTGCAGAGTGAACCTGTGCAACTTGCTCAGCAGAGCCAAAAGAAGACTAAAAACTACTTGTTGCAATTAGGGTGCCCTTTGTCAAGTCTCCCCTCATTTTTTTTAGGGTGGCTACAACCTGGAGTCTATTGCTGAGTCCATGACCATGTGCACACGCAGCCTCCTGGGGGATCCTCCCCCCAGTCTGGGACGCCTCAAGGCCCCCCACCCCAGTGCCCTGCAGTCTCTGGCCTGTGTTGCCGCTGTGCACCGCAAGTACTGGAAAAGCCTCCGACTGAAAGGTGAACCCTCTCTTGTGTCCAACCATATCCCTGCCCTATGATGTCTTAGCTGTGGGCATGTACTGATCAAGGGTATCTGCTATGGGCCAGTTCCCCTCCCTCCTCTGTTGTGAATATACTGGTTGGCATTAGATAACCCAGTTTTTCAGCCTTTGCTCTTCTCACATGGGGGCAAATGCTCCTGGGTGGCCATAAACTTCACCATATAGTGGTTAGTGGGATGTATGTGCAGGAAACATTTTGGGTCCCTGGCAGTAGCAGGGAAAACACCACATAGAGAATGATCTGTCCCTATTTGGGTTTATTTTTCATTTACATTCTCTGTACTGCTCTTTCATCACCAAAGGTGATCCCAAGGTTATGGGAACAGTGCTGAAGAGGTCCACAACACACCTGTTCCCCTTAATCCCCAGTCTCCAACTGTGACTGGGTTGGGCTTAGCCTCAGGGCAAACTAGGGGCAAATCTACTTGGCAAAATTGCTGGGCAAGCAAAAGTATTACTGAATTAGTGGGAGAAATGCAGTCCAAAAGCAGGATCTTATCTGGAATCTGCAGCATGAGAGATCAGACCAAGGAGAAGCCCAGTTTTGGGGAGGTGGGAGTGGAGAACAACCTGCTCTTCCAGCTGCTAACAAGCTTCAAATGAAGACTTAGAAGGCACTATTTCCCAGTGCACAGGGAAGGTAATAGAAGGCAAAGTTTAGGCAAGCAAGCATTTCTCATCTGGGGGTAAGCTCCAGCAATATCTCCCTCCTCCAAAACCTACATTGGGGTAAGTGGTGAGGTCAGCTTGTTTCTATGCCTCTTGAGGGGATATGGCAGGTTTTTTGTGATGTCAACAGCCAGCCCTTCATCTGGAAGAGTTTTGTGTGCTTGGCAACCACCATGCCTCAGAAAAGGGCAGCAAGACGATTGGTGGGCTAACAGCTGATGTCACAAAGCCCCTACCTTACATAATGCAGTCACAGAGAGGGACTGCAACACAGCAGGGATGAAGAGTGATGGGGAAGGGAGGCAGGGCAGAGCCAAGCCGGGGAGAGGAAGGGACCAGCACCAGGGGAAAGGAAGGCAGTGGGAACTGGCCCTCAGATTGCTTTCAGCCAGGCCTGGCCTTAGGGCCTACTTCCCCACACACATTTCACCATTTGGTGGGCTTCTTAGTTGGGAAGAGGAGGAGTAATAACACCATCTTTCCTCCCCACCTGCCCAGTGCCTGCTCCTCTATGGGAGAAGCCCAGGACCCGAGCTGCGAAGAGAACTCCCGTTCCAGACAAGATCCCCATAGAGCCCTCCCAGGAGCCGCTTGACAGCCCCACGGCGCAACCTGTGGCAGAGACTGTTGATGATGCCATGACGGTGTTGGGCTCCCTCCAGCTAGAAGACAATTTCATGGAAGAAGGAGAGACAGCCTCAAGCTCTCTCTCTCCTGACTCCAGTCCGGTAGGAGAGGAGACCCGGCCAAAGACTGGGAGCTCCCCTGAAGAAATGAAGCCAGCAGCGGAGCCCCAGAAAGAGGGAATGTCTGTGGGGAGCTCTTCTGCAGAAGCGGAGTTTCCTGACAATGAGGCAAAAGTAGGTCCCAGATGTTCTTCTCTACATTAGTGGCTTTTCAGGCTTTCTGCTTTCCATGTCGGTGGTGTCCAATATGGTGCCCACAGATACACTCCTTGGCACCTGCCAGTATCCCTGACCTCACCTGTTATTTCTTGAGAGGTTTTTAAAACAGAAGCTGGCATGCTGCAAAGCAAAGGGCTGCTGCCCTCCAGTGCCATCTTTATTAGGGTTTAAAAGAGTGACTTTGTGTTCTAGAACTCGAACCTCTGCCTTGTACTTAAGTTCTTTAGTAATTTATTTGTGTTTTAGTTTAACCAATTTACCTTCTGGAAATCCATATTTTATGACCAGCTGTGTCCACTGTGGCAGCCATTTTGTAAATGGGCACACTTCCCTACCTCATGCCAGCCATTTTGTAAGAATGCCAGTGATGGCCTCTCATAATTCCGAATGTGCCCACTGAGCCAAAGAGCTTGTGAAATCCCAGTCCAGATCAACCCACTTGTCCCAAAAGCCCCTGTACATTCTACCCCTCTGCCTAATCAAGACTGTTCCAAAAAGAAGGAGGTGGGGGAGGAAGGAGGTGGGGGAAGGAAGAGGTGTACCTTCCCTCACCCCCCAAAACCCATCCTGCTGCCACCTGAGTCCTCATGTGGTTTTTGAGAACTTGGCTTGTCAGGGAGTGCCTGGCATCAGACAGCCACTTTCCAGTTGCTCTGATTGTTTTTTGGGACACGGTACTCTCAGCCACTCCTCTCCTCCTCTCTTACCTGCAATCAGGTGAGCCCACCTGATCTGCCTCCCGGGCTGGCTGAGGATCACTTGCTTGATGAAGCCGCAGGTGGCTGTTCCTCTTTCTGTGAGCTGCTTGGAGTGGATCTTGCAGATGCCGTGAGTACTGGAGTCAGTGGGAGGGAAGGCCTGGAGCCAGGACTTCTGGAACTGGATCTCCTCGGCTTGGTGCAGCTCGGAGTTGAGCCAGATGCCAGCAGGATGCTGCCTCTTTCTAGGGGCTGCTTTATGCTGTGACTCCCTTACCGTGGTGTCCCCACCTCGAGGCGGTGCTCCCCGTGCCTCCTGCCGGCTTGAATGTGCTGGAGCCCTGTGCAGAATGTGGCAGCAAGGCTGAGAATTGGGTCTGCCTGGTTTGCTATAAGGTAAGGTGGTGGAGACAGTTGGTCAGGGCACAGCAAGGCCAGGCTGTACTTTGGCCGGGCTCTACTTTGGGCAGGCTGGTGGCTTTCAGCCCTTGTCCTGAGGGCCACTGAGTTAAATCCCAATAAATGGAAGACGTTTGAAGTGGCACATGGAAGCCCTTGTTAAGAATAGACCTACAGAAGTCCATGGGACACGCTCATTACCCTGCCTGTCATATTGGCCATTGCCTTTGGGTGAGGGGGCTTGCATTGATCTTTCTCTGCGGCTGGCTGGCTGACTTGATTCCTCCTGTAGCACTACTGCTTTCACACCTGCTTTTGATAGGGGGCTGATGTGTGGGCAGTCCCACCAAGGGGCCAGTGCTGCAGCTCTGCCCGTCCCCCCAAATGGCCCTCCAGCCACTACAGGTGAGGAGGTCTGCAACAGACAGGACCAGCATCTGCACCTTGGCCCACACAAGCATGCCAGCTCTTTTTAGGGCTGATGCTGTACCCATAGCATCCTTTCTCTGTTCTTATTCTGGTCTCTGTGCATCACACATAGGGGTACTGCACCTGTGCAGTGCCTCGTTCAAGTAGATTTCTGTAGCTTAGCCTAGAATTTTCAGCACGAGCCCCACCCCCTTCCCCCATTGTATAAATAGGTGGGCTCCCTCCATTTTGTCAGTTTGCTTTCAACTGCCATTGATATCTAGTATCTGACTTAGCTTCCCTCACAACTTTTGATTTTTCACTTAGTTTCCTACATGAACCTATTTACTCACTTCTATTATCTATGCTTCAGTTTCTCGATCTTTACTTTAGACCTTTATAAATTTTGAAGTTCCCCCTCCCTCCTTATAACTCCTCACAAAAATAATAAAAAATCCCTATCTTTTCTCCCATTTCCTTGGATCTTTATCTCTTTCTTCTTCCCAATGTCAGCGAACTGGCCTTTAGAAAGTGTGCCGACTGTGGAGTAAGATGCTGTCCATGGATGGCCACTCCTTATGCCTGTTCTGCTTAGGTGAGGGGCACCAGGTAGACAAATGCCCACACTGCCAGGCTTTTACAAAGCAGGCCTGTAGGAAGGGATGGCTTCATGCATGGTGTCAGCAGCCTCAAGGGTCCAATGCATCCACTTCAGCTATGGTTCAACAAGCATATCGGCCAGGGTACAATTCACTGAGGAAGACATTGACTCTACCTGTCATGAACTAGGTGTTCCCTTCCCAAGGTATTCCCTTCCCAGCAAGGCAGACTTTCCAGCACTTCTTGTAAGTGTTTTTATTCTACATAGAAGTCTCAAAGCATACATGAGTCTCTGAGCATAGGCAAAATGAGATGTTGAACCCACTCTGCCCCGCTTTACCCAAACTCCGCTTATGAACTCTTCTGTCTTGGGAAGGAGGGGTGCTATGGCACCCGGCACGCCTGCGTTCTGCACTCTGCGTTCCAATTAGGCCAGCCTGCGGCTGTGATGATGGGCCTTTGAGTCCACCTCTTCAGGAGGCTGGCATTTTCCATCCAAGAGACTACCCATTTCCAGATCTCCTCCCTCAGGGTGTTTTTGTCCTCCTCCTCTTTCATTCCCACAGGCAGGAGGACTGGGCCCCATGGCTGTCCTTGAACTACTTACAGAGTAGGCTCAGACCTGCTACTGAGAAACTGGGGCTGCAGGTGCAGGCCTGTCCATTACAACAGTAATTCTGTTATCAGAGCTCGAACTCTGAGCCCCGTCTGAGTCAACCAGTTCCCCATCATCCTCAGACTCTGATCTATCAGTCCCACCAAAATGGTCAGCTTCTTGTGTACACCTGGGAATCTGCCACTACTACTCCAAGTATGGGCGAGCCTTGCCTTGTGGACACGTGAGCCCAACCTTTCCAAAGGACTTTCGTTCTGGCCTTTGGAACCAATGGCCATGTTGATAACTGATGCAGCTCTCACCAGTTTGGGTGCCCACTCCAACCACTACTGGTTGGGGTGGTCCCAAGAGAAAGCGCCACATCAATCACCTGGAGCTTTTAGCGGTCTACAAGGGTCTTCTGGGATCCCAAAAACTCTTAGTTGGCAGGCATGTACAACACCACCACTGGGACAAAGCAAACAGGATGGACAAAATCAACATTTGTAGCACGGTTAACCCTTTGCATTTGGGAATAGTGCGTCCTACACAGCATCACCCTAGTAGCCACCCACATGGCAGCAACGGACAATGTGAGTGTAGACATTCTTGAGTCAGACCCTGTGTCAGATGCATGAGGGGGAAACTCAGCCCTCGGGTTCACAAAGACATCTTTTCAGCTTGGGGCACTCCCATCTGTAGATTTGTTTGCCACACAGATGAATGCTGCCTGCAAAACTTAATGCTTGAGAGCTGGGATTGGACAGTACTCGAACAGGGATGCCTTTCTCCTGCCCTGGATGGGAGCCTTGTTGTACCCCTTCCCACCATTTCCTCTCATCACCAGGACTGTAGCAAAGATGAAGACCAAATAGACATGGGCCATCTTAATAATGCTGTGGTGGCCAAGGCAGGCTTGGTTCCCATCCCTACTGAAGCTCTGCAACACGACATTCAGACATTTACCAGCAATACCCGACTTGCTTTCCCAGGCTCAGATACTACACTCAGATATTCAAACACTCCATCTGACAGCCTGGCAGATTTCATAACGGACTCATCTACCTTACCAATCCAATCGTCCAAACTTCTGACGGAATCTCTACCTCAGGCCCATGCCTCCACTTCTACATTCATAGAGAATCCATATGACTACCTCATGACCAGAGCAGCAGATTTGGATCCTTGGATCCAGGACATTTTGACGGGCTCTATGACCCCCAATCTGGCATTCTTACGCTACCAATTGAGCAAAATTCAATAAATATGCAAGGGACCACTCATTTGATCTATCCTCTGCTACCATCCAGAGGATTCTTGAGTTCCTGCACTTTATCAATCAGGACTCAAATCAACTTCTATTAGTCCCTGTTTATCTGCAGGGTTCACTTTCCATGGTCCCATTGAAGGTTACTCTATATTCTCTCATCCTCTTTTGCCACGCTTTATGAAAGACTAAAAAAAAATTGCACCCTCAACCTATTGCCCCTACCTGGAGCCTATCCATTGTGCTCCATGCACTAACAAAACCACCCTTGGAGCCACTTGCAACTACTGATTTACTTGTGTCTGGGAAGGTCTCCTTCCTGGTGGCCATCATCTTAGCTCATAGGGCAAGTGAGCTTTCTGCATTGTGGGTAGACCCTCCATATTTAATTTGTCGTAAGGAAAAAGTTGTCCTCCATACCGACCCTTTGTTCCTGCCTAAAGTCTTGTCTTCCTTTCACATCAATCAAGATACTGTTCTCCTGGCTTTCTACCCATTACCTTCTGTGGACATTGAAAGAGTCTTCCATCCCCTTGACATCCGGCATGCATTGGCATTCTATCAGTCCTATCAATGGACTGATAGACTGAGTCCATTCTTAAGACAAACTGACTCTTCATTAAATATGCAGACCATTCCAAGGGAGAACTGGTCAGAACTCAGTGCCTGGCACACTGGATCATCGAGACCATTAAACTAGCATACCAGTTATCACCCTTGGATTTACCAGATTGACTGAAGACTCACTCCACCAGGGCGGTCACAACATTGACAGGGCTCCATGCAGGACTACCTCTGGATGCCCTTTGTAGAGCAGTGATGTGGTCAACACTCCATTTTCGTTCAACACTATTGACTTGACATGAAGGTCAGACACGACTGCTGTTTTGACAAGGTTGTGTTGTCCTTCATTCTTAAGTAACGACACCTCCCACCTCCTTCCATGTATGCTTGCTAGTCACCCATATATGTGATGCACAGAGACCATGATGAAGAAAGGCAGGTTGCTTACCTCTAACTCTTGTTCTTTGAGTGGTCATCTGTACATTCACACAACCCACCTGCTGGCCCCGCATCCATGTTGGTGGATAGGTATAGTCATACATATTCTTTCCTACTCCTGTTGCTTCCAATTTGTATTGTGATAGAGTGCTTAGGGACATACTTATAGGGCAAATGTCAGTCTCCAGTAGGACTGACAAAATGGTGGGAGCCTGCCTGTATATACAATGGGGGAAGAAGGTGGGGCTCCCACCAAAAATTCTAGGCTAAGCTAGAGAAATATATCTGAATGAGGCACTGCATGGGTGCAGCACCCATATGTGTGAATGCACAGATGACCGCTCGATGAACGACAGTTACACATATGCAACCTGCCTATTTAAGTTGTGTATTTCACCTGTGAGTTCCTTGGACCGCAAGGCGATCAAACCGGTCAGTCCTAGAGGAGATCAACCCTGACTGCTCTTTAGAAGGCCAGATACTGAAGATGAAACTCAAATACTTTGGCCACCTAATGAGAAGGAAGGATTCCCTGGAGAAGAGTCTAATGCTGGGAGCAATTTAAGGCTAAAATAGAAGGGGACGGCAGAGGATGAGGTGGCTAGATGGAGTCCCTGAAGCAGTTGGTGTGAGCTTGGTTGGACTCCGGGAGATGGTGGAGGACAGGAGGGCCTGGAAGAATGTTGGCCATGGGGTTGCGATGGGTCGGACACGACTTCGCGACTAACAACAACAACACATTTCACAACTGAAGCAGTGTGCATGGTTATCAAATGAGCCCCATGTTAGAGCATTTAGTCCAGCATCTAAGAGTGCTTCTGCTACATTCCCAGATGACCGTTCGGTCTGTTCCCCAGGCTAGTGTTCCTGTCAGCATCCTCTAAGCCAGTCTTCTCCCATCCCATTCAGGTTTGCTGTGGCCGCTACATTAATCAGCACATGGTAGCACACAATTCTGAAACTGGGCATCCGTTGGTGCTCAGCTTTGCAGACCTCTCTGCCTGGTGCTATGAATGCCAAGCCTACATCCACCACCCGGTGAGTTGTGCAATGCTTTGATGTCCTTTCTCCACCACTCCCTTCCTGGGGTTTGCCCTTCAGCTTGGAAATGTTTGAACTAACACGATGAGTTGTACTCTCCTGTGGAGTCACCAGAAAAGGGAAATTCAGACCCTCTCCCTGATCTTCATATCAACCAGGCAGTGCCCCTAGTAGGAAGGCATCCAACCTGCATTGCTTGGAAGATCAAAGGTTGGTGCTGCAAATCATGATTTGAGGCCTGGGGGTGGGGAGAGCCTGTGCTTCAAGGATTAGAGGGGGTTTTTTGGTGGGGGTGGAGTTCTGTTTGAATCTGCTTGGCTCAATGCCTCTGGTATGTCATGGAACTTCACCACTTGGGTAAGAACCACTGCTAGACAAATCTATTTATCTCACTTGTTCCTTGCATCCCCAATTTGCATCATGTGCCTGTCACCCACACAAGGTAGCTTTTAAGCAGGAACAGGAAATAAGGACTGTGTGTCTTTCAATAATCATTCTTCTTTCCTCTCCCTGCTCTTTCCTCTGTTTCCTTTTCTTTTAGATTAGTGTGGGAATAAGGGTGGATTGTTCCATCAATATTGACAAGAGATCATTCTGTCATGCAGCAGAATCTCATAACATAGGATCTAGAGGGATTTCTCCCCCAGCAGGGTCTGTTCCCTTCCATGCTGCCAGTTGTGGACAAATTCTTTCCTTGCAGATAGAAGGGCTCAGTAAACTGCTGCCTGGAATGGATTTTTACTGGCAAATGGCAAAGTTAGTTTCTTCTTCCGGCAAGATCAACCATTACATAGGAGGCAAGGAGGGCAAAATACCACACAACAAAATGCCTTGCTCCTTCGGAGAGCCTCTTCATGAATGCTTTCTTTCCCTGCATGGGAAAGGGGGACAAAATGGACAGTTTGAGAAAGCAGTGTGGAGGACAGTAGTGTTTCATTTCATCCTTCATTGGAGCACCCCCACGCAGGTTTGGAATTCTTTTAAATGCTTTTAAAGATCTTGTTCTCGAAAGTGAGATACAGAGAAAAGGCCTCTGTGGTCTTAGTCCAACCTTCTAGCCAATGAACAACTCCACCTCTTAATGTCCATTTGCTACTGGTGTGGCAACCCCAAGTCCCACAAGATGAGAAGGCCCAGAGGGAGGGAGTTGCAATATGCTCGGCTTAAGAGTGTGACTTCGGTGTGGTCCATGTTTTTTTTCTCCCTTCTCTTTGTTTACCTTCAGACTCTCTTTGATGCCAAGAGCCACGCTCACAAGTTGAAGTTTGGGGTGGACATGATGATCCCTGCCTAATGTGGCTCCTTTAAGAGGGAGATGCATTTACCGAATGCAGCACAATTGACCATCACTTGACCTCAGTGGAACTGAACCTGATGCTTAAAAGGGCTCTTGATGTGCCAAAAATAGTCTGCGATCATCAATGCAATACCACCAGCAGCCATGACTCAAACACCAGCAGCCTCATTGCTTTTACAATGTTCTTTTAGTGCATTCCACAATGGGCCACAACCAAATTATACAGCAGTAGGGAGGTCTGTGCTTCCCCGGTGCAGAAGATGTACGAGTGCCATTTCTTTTTCTTAGAGGGACAGGGCAAATGTTGATGTCTGTCTGCATTTCCAGTGTCATATTATACAGCATGCCCTTTTCTTTCCATTCCCGTTGTCTGCCCCCAAATCCCTGAATATTTCACTGAGTCATTCTTCCTCAATATCTTAATAGCTTCATACTTAGCAGAAGGAAATTTGTGCTGAATGTGCAGAGGGAGGGGAGAATGTGTGCCCCCTTCATTTCTCCCCACACCATTTAGTCAAGAATGTTTTCAGCATTGAGACAAAAGTATGTTTTGTGCAGGTGGGTTCCCCCTTGCCTCTGAGAAGTTCAACTCCAGAAGGATTGTACTACAAAATGTTTTCTGTTGTGAGTCCAGCTTTTCTCTAAAATGGGGGATATCACTGATTTCTATATACTCGTGTGCGCACACACATATTATATATATCTATATATAGGATGGCATTGTTTGGTTTGCTTGATAAGACTCTACATGCAGTAGCAGGCAAAGTGCTTGAGAGGATGAGACGCATGGCCTTTTCCTCTAGACAATAGGGGTGGGGTGAGGGAAGCAGGGATGGCAGCCCATGCTTCCTCCTCCTCTAACCTCGGCAAGGACTCAGATCATGATGCTAGGGCCAAATCTCCTACTTCCCTCGCTTGCTCTGTATGGACTTAAAACCACACACATGTGCAAGAGACAGGTCAGCAGCACCCCCTTTGGGGCATGGCTGTCCTCAGCTGTGCCAGCAAAACTGCCCACCTTCCATCAGTGGACCTGATGTGGAATGGGTCTGTTCTGAGCCACCATTTTAAGCACGCAGAAGCTGCTTTATGCACCCTCATTTTCCTGTGTCGTTTGGATCCTGGGCAGTTCCACACAAAGGCGGCAGCTGTGCTGCAAAAGAGGATGTAAGCATGGGGCTCGGGAGGCGTTGTGAAGAGAGGTGCGTGCCCGAGTTGTCTTGCTAAGCAAGGCACAAGGCTGCTGCTGGCAATGGCAAGCAATAGCCCTGCCTGCACAGTGACCAGGGGTTGGCACTCTGCCTTTGTAGGTCTTCCCTACCCCAGTTGTGTGGATTTCAAAAGTGGCGAAAGGGGCTTCAGGGGTAGAATGGCACTCCCAGGCAGCTCCATCTGACTCAAAGAGCTTAGAAAAAGGGCTTCACTTCATAGTGTCCGGGCAGCTGAGAATTGCTTCCTTATCCACCTCTCTCCTGGGAACAGTTAAACGATGGAGCAGGGGCAGGGCTCAAGTGGCATATCCTAAGATGGTTAGTGAGTGCTATGCCAAAACAGCTGGAAGAACACCCCAGGCTAAGAGGAGAAGGGTGTGTTGGGAAGAGTGGTATGGATGAAGAGGCAGGGTGGATCAGCACCCCAAGGGGAGTCGTCCTTTTGCCGGGGCAGGCCCTGGTGGGGTTGTTGGGGGATGGGTAGACCAGGCTGTAAGAGTTGTGCTGTGGTTTAAAAGTTGCAAGGTGAAAAGTTACATTGAACTTTTAGGGGTGGAGAGTTTATTATATTGTATTCCCCCCCCCATTCATTTACTGCTTCATTTTGTAATCTTTTTAATTATTCAAATAAAGTGTTTCTGTGAATGGAGTTACTATACGTGTGTTCTGGACTTGTGTCCCTTAGAGAGGTGAGGACTCCCTTATTCACCTGCTTCCGAGAAAATAAAAAGAGCCCTGCTGGATCAGGCCAGGGCCCCATCCAGCATTCTGTTCACACAGCAGTCGATCATCTGTCTGGAGGAAACCTGCAGTGCCTCCCTTCCCCTGGAGATCAACCTGTTGTCACCACCTCATTATCACTGTTTAGCTAAAGCCAGTCCTCCCCTCCCCTCCCCTCCCCTCCCCTCCCAACACACACACACACACACACACTGCTTTTCCAGCTTTGCCTAGGAAATGGCCAAGTTCTGGCGAGGCTGCAATTGAAAAAGAAAAATCTGAGGAATAACTGTGGATCAGCCACAGATGGATTTATGTAGAACCTCACTTCTGCTTGTGGGGCAAGGTAGGGCATGGTGGAGGGGGTCTAAAAACCGCTTGCTGGATTGGAGGCAGAAGGAAATTCAAATCATTGCCTTGAATTGGGTTAGCAAAGTTATAGGCAGGGCAAAGCTGTGAATGCTCATTGTATTTTAAAAGTGCTAATTAAAGCACTTAATTAAATTTGCATGCATCTGCTTATTTTGCATATTTTCAGAAGATAGCCAAGGAGTTATGCAAGGGGCTTTTGCCCAAAGCCCTGGCCCTTGGGCATCAGTAGGCTTATGAATTACAAGATGCACCTCTCTGATGCCAAAATAGAGTCCTTTTGGCCATTTAGTAATCAACCAAATCTCTTGGGGGTCCTAAGATCATAAGAGCTTTGCTTCATCAGACCCATGGTCCATCTGAGCATTTTGGGTACTCGGTGGCCAAACAGCTGCCATGGGAACCCACAATCAGGGCAGGCCCAAGTTCCCCAGCAACTGGTTCCCAGAGGGCATGCTGCCTCTGCTACTAGAGGTAACTTACAGCCATTAGGATTAGCAGCCTTTGGACTGGGATAATGGGTCCACTGTACAAGATACATGAATTCAATAGGGCAGTTGATGGATAATTATATAGATGTGAGAGGAAGTATGAGGAAAAATATGAAGTATACTGAGTTAAAGTGCCTCAGATGAAAGGTATCTCCAATGTGACCCTACACATGACAACTCAGAAGCAACTTTCATTGTGTAGTGGTGCTTACTCCTAGGTAAGTGTGCACAGGATTGCTAAGTCACTAGACCTCAGCATCTCAATTGGTGTACCAAACCAAAGTTGCACATGCATTCAATTTAAAAGCTGGTGCTATGCTTAAATGACACCATGCATGCAAATCACAGTTGGTAGTGCTAACACTAACCTATGCTATTTCAGCCTGGCTTAATTACATTTTTATCCTGCCCTTCCTTCAAGCAAGATAGGCTGGTATCTAGGCTCCCCTACCCCAATGTTACCCACACAACAATGCTGGATGGTATGTAAGGAAGCTTTTGGGCTGATGGGCAGGGTAGAAATATAATATTTTTTATTTATTTTAAACATTTGTATGCTGCCCAATTGTGCCACAGCACCACTGGGGAACTCACAACACGATAATAAAATGTTAATAAAACATTTAACAATAAAATGTTAAGATGATCATCCATGCTGATTTATGACTAGTGAAAAGATAACCATTACACCTCTCCAGGAGTTTGGCAGTCATAAGGTCTAGAAGCTTGCCTTTCTTGCCTCCCGCCCCTCCAAAAAAAAGCAGAGGTTTGCAGCATGCCAGTCACTGCACCCAGTATTTCTGTACAGAATGCACTCACCCATGGCCATAGTGCAGCTTTCCCCAAGCCGGTGTCCTCCAGATGTCTTTGGACTATGAACTTCTATCATCTTCAGCTACCATGGCCAATTTAGTGCAACTGACGACACTTTTTACTGCTGACATCTCAGGAGTCGGGGGTGGGGATTTAAACAAGGACACCGCTCAGTCTTTTAAGCCTGGCTCTGCTGAGACTATCCCTGTGCTTAGCCTGCATCGCTGCACGTTGAGGCTTGAGCGCAGGGACGGGAGAGGCGCTGCACTTAAGGAGAAGCTTAAGTAACTCAGGGAGAAAGCGAAGCTAAACCCACTCTTTTCCTCCGTGCTTATGCGCAAGGGCATTTTCTTCGTCGCACGGATTTGTTTTCAAACACGTGCAGGAAACCGAGGCTGCACATCTCTGGGCGCACTAGGCCTAAAACACCCCTTTGCGGACTCTGTAGAAGACTGAGCAAGAATATCACCCGTCTTCACGTGAATTCCCCACACACACGCCCGTACGTACGCGCGCACACGCGCACATACGGGAACAGCCGAGAGATGCAGATGGACCGTCACTGTGAACAAGCGCGAAGCGTGTGCGTCATAATACAGCAGCGCTGCGTCAGTAACAAAATGTACAGGGAAAACGTAGAAACGCGGAGCATTCTGTCTGCTGCCCCCTACTGGAGGTTTAGCCTAATCCCTCGCCTGCAGAAAGCAATTGGGGCTGTGTTGCAGCGGAGTTTAGGACTGAGGCAATTTCGAGAAGAGGCTTCTCGGCGCCCTCCTCGTTCTCTTTCCCCCAGCAGCCCCCCTCTTCCTTTCCTTGTGCTTCCAAGCTAGGGATAATGTAACACCAGCTGCTGCGCAACATCCCGCCTGGTATAGGAAAGTAACGGGCGGCAGCAGGCTCGAGCCCGGCGGGTCCCGCTCTTCCTGCCCCATCTTCACCGCGGCTCTTGCTGCGCGTCGGAGCTAGATGAGGGACCCAGGCGGGTCAAGGAGCTGCTTCTGCCTCCCCGACCCTGAAGGAGCAGAAGTCGATCTGTCACAGATCATCTGTGGGGTGATGGGAATGGGGGAGCAGCCCGCCAAGGAAGGTAGCCAATATCGGGAAAGGAAGGAAGGCAGCTGCCTCCCCATCCTCGCGCTTGGCAGTGCAAGGCAGACGCTGCAGAGCGCAGCGAGCTGAGCAACCCTCGCCCCCAGGGGGTGCCTGCAAGGAATCCGAGGCTGCCCCAGCTCCCGGCGGAGGCGTGGGAGAAACGTAACTGCTGGAGCAAAGGAATGCAGAAATTTCCCAGAGGAGGAGCCGAGCCAGGAGCTCCAAGCGAGAGCGGGATGCTTTCCTAGGCTGTGCAGCCGCGCGCTTCCTCGCAGGAAAGCGGGAAGGCAGCGCAGCCGGGCTCCGTGGCGACGTTCGGCGTGAAGGCGGGCGGCAAGATATCCCCGAGAGCGAGCAAGCGAGCGAGCCACGAGGGGCTATGCTGGCTGCACGGGAAGCAGCAGCACTCTACCAAACAGACTTTGTGCGCAATGCCCGGGCAGTGGGTGCCCTCTGGGCTGGCTGCACGCTCTGCTTTGGCATCCTAGAGGTTGTGGTGCTGATTCAGCCGGCCTGGGTGCAGACGGCACCACTCATCTACCAGCTGCCCCCCTCAGGGGTCCTGCCGGATCCCAGTGTGAGCGCCGTGGGATCCTTTGGCCTATACCAGGTCTGCATGGAGCAGGACGGTGTCCTCCAATGCGAGGGGTCGCTGGTCACCCTCACCCCTATCCCGTCCTTCAAAGCAGCTGCTGTCTTTGTCCTGATGGCCCTGGTACTGGTGATGGGCAGCGTGGCCTCCTTGGGCCTCTTCTGGGTCTGCAGCCCTGGGACTGTCTACAAGGTGTGCGCCTGGCAGCAGCTTTCAGCAGGTGAGAGAGAGAAAGAGCATGAAGAGAGAGCTCCCTTCTGGGAGCAAAGGACAAACACCTGGGGGCTTTATCTGGGTGCAGGTGAGAGCGGTCCACTCTGGGCCATCCTCCCATAAATGATAATTGATTATAATAACCAGCAAAACAAGAGGAGGACAACTGGGGTGGGATGCAACAATGGGCAAAGAGAGAGGTACCAAAGCTCAAGTCTGGCACAGGCAATCAACTTTGATTGCTTGGTGGTTGCATACTCAAAAGGCAAACCACAGCTTTCTCAGTGTGACCAAGAAACGACTGTCTGAGTTGGGGCTGTGTAGACCTCAACAGGTGGGAATTGCTTGGAACAGAGGTCACTTTTCACTCCACCCCTGCGAGGGGGGGGGGGGGTCCTGATCGCTTTGCTGATGGTTCTCTCTGTGCAACAAGAGCCAACTTTTGGTCCTGATGGCAGATGGCTTGGCCTCTACTATCAGGGCATCCTGCTGTGGATGCCAACCCCTCCCTGCTTTCTCTCTGGAAACATCAGAGGATAGGCCTTCCCTGCAGTACAAAGGGCCTCCTGTTCATATCTCACCCAGTGTCATGAAAAATACTCTGCTTATGCAGCCTCCTCCCACGTTACGTCCTCCAGATGCAGTAGACTACCATTCCCATCAACCCCAGCCAGCATGGCCAATGCTTAGGGGTTATGGAAATCAGTCTGGAGGACACCAATGGCACATTCCTGATTTTGTGCTTTAAGAGCACTTTCAGACCCATTTGTGCGCAGTGTATATTATAAGGAGCCAGGCAGTCAGTATATCTGCCCTGTAAAGTTGAGCAGTGTTATCATTCACATATTACCAATGAAGGTCTGTGGCTGGTGGCTTGCCAAAAGCTGCCTAGCAGACCTGTTGCTGAAATGAGATCTGAGCTTTCTCAAGTGACCATTCTTAGACACCACACCTATCTGTGTAAAGATTGCTGCTGAAGCCTCATGCAGCCCAAGAGGGATGCTGGACAGAACTCTCAGGCTGCATGGTGCAGCCTCCTGGGGTTGCAGAACGTCTTGGGCAGGCACTGTGCATGCTTGACCAGAGCTTGTACTGTGGGGCTTGCAGAAGTTACCTTTGCTTGCAGGGATAGGGAGCCCTGCACTTGCTTGGAGGCATTCTCTTTCCCTATAATGACTTCCTAGGAGCTAGAGCTTGAGTAGGAATGCAAGCCCACCATTGTATTAACTCCTTCCCTGTTCCTTTGTCCCTTCCTCTTTATGTCTGTCTGTCTCGCAGCAACTTGTCAGGCACTCGGCTGCTTGGTTTTCCCAGATGGCTGGGGAGCCCCAGAGGTGCGGGCTCTATGTGGACCTCGGGCTAGGAGCTACACCCTGGGGACTTGTACAATACACTGGGCCTTTACCTTGGCCTTGCTGGGAATAGCCGATGCTCTAGTTCTAGCTACCCTTGCCTTTGTGCTGGGAAATCGGCAGGATGCTCTGCTCCCTGCAGGCTACGCACCAACCCCAGGGGGGAAAGGTAAGCATTTCACATTTCCCTTCCTCCCCCTATTTCTTGGCAATACTGGAAACCCAAAGCTTCAGCTAGGACCAGCTGCAGAGTTGACAGCAATATTAGCTGTTGCCTAGCAACGTCCAATGAGGCATCAAGGATGCAGCTGGCACAGGCAACGGTGGAAGAGGCTGGCAGCCCTCTGAGAAAGATGGAAGCAAAGAAGTCCATTCTTTCTGGCACGTTTAAAGCCCTTCCCCCAAATATCCCAACAACAAGTCTTTCCTGAAGAACAGAAAGTCTGCTCTCTTTCCCATCAGTGCCCAAAAGCTACATTCTGACAGTTGCAAAATTTGCCTGGGTTGCTTGTTCTGAACAATTTCTGCTAGTTGCAGAGGGAGAGAACAAGAATTCAGAACTCCTGGCTGGGGCTAGAATTAGTGGTTCTGGGCTTCTGCCAGGGCTGACCTCCAGCAATGAGGACCCCCTGTGATGGCCACCATCTTGATTCCATGTTGGTTGATTCCATGGGAAATTATAACCTGTTGCTGATTTCAAGTACAGTTTTTTCTGCATTATCTGATCCTGACCATGGCAGCAGAGGGCCCCTGCAAACCTAGAGATTGCTCTGTTCACAGATTTTACTGTGAGGAGGTCACCTGACTAATTACAACTAATCCAGTCATAACATTTCACAGTAGAGATGTTTGCATGATTGATTGATTGATTGATTGATTGATTGACTGCTAGTTTGCATGTGAACAGAGGTGGGCCAGAATCAGCTCAGCTTTTCAGTGTTGCCCCCTATGGCTGCTGGTAGGGAAGAGACCAAAAAAAGGAGCAGAGAAAGGAAGAAAACAAAAAGGGAAGGGCCAGAACTGTATCACAGCTCTTTTGCAACACACATTTTTAAAATTTCAGTGATGCTTTTCTCTGAAGGAACAGGCGGCCTTCAGCTACATGGAGCACAGGAGCACGGAGCACCTCCTCCCTCACAGGCTGCTATCATATTGTAACCCCAATGTGCATTGTGAGAAACATTCTTTTGTTATATGATTTTTATTGCTGATCTAAAAGCCTTTTATTTTTTTAAAAAAATAAAAATGTCAGTGTTTCTGTGTTGAGCGAGTGGTGGGTGAGGCCAGCTATGGACCGGCTTTAGTGATTGTCTCCAGGTGGCCCCAGGAGGGGAGGACAGATGCAGGCCACGTTGGCCTTAGCAAAGGTGGAGGAACTTGGGCTTTGTGTTGGGCCCGCGCTGGCACTGTTGCAGGCTACCATGTACCATCTGAAGACCTTTAGAAAATCTTTCTTTTCCCTGCTTTTCATGTGTATGCACACAGGTGTTTCCGCAGCACTGACTCCAGACTGATTCCTTTCCCTTTGTGGATTCACCTTCCCAGGGGCATCTTTCAGAGCTGGATTCACACTTGAAGCCATGCGACTGTTGCAATAAATATTTTTTAAAATATAAAGTATGATATATATGGTGTGTGTTTTTGGGTAACTTCCAGAGCTGCTTAATATTTTGAAAATCATTCTAACATTTGCCAGAAAGCTGCAAGATAGAGTATTATCTTTTCTGTTTTAAAAATTAGGGGAGGGGAGCTTGTACTTGTTCAGAGCTATCCGTCGAGGTTTTTGGGGCAGCTGGGCTTGGTTCTTCCAGCTCCTACTTCAGTATTCTGCTTGAAAGAACAAAATGGCATCTAAATAGCTTTACACTCAAAACAGGGAACTGGTGGATTCAACATGGCTTCTGAAACTTCTGTTCCAGAATTTCTTGTTTTTAACAAGAGCCAGATTTATTCATGTCATTACTTAAGAGTATTTCTATACTGCACAATAGCTGAAGCTCACAACAATGCAGCACCTATGCTAATACAGTGTGGTGATCAGAGAGCTGGACTAAGACTTCGGAGATCTGGGTGGTAGTCCCCATTCAGCCAGTCCCTAACTCTCAGCCTGACCAACCTCCCAGGGCCGTTGATGTGAGGATAAAATGGAAAGGAGGAAAGCCTTGTCAGCTGCCTTGGGTTCCTTGAAAGAGGAAAAAAGACAGGATGGAAATGTAATATAGTAATAACAATACCAGAATAATAATAACAGAAGGGTTGAGCCTCTTTCAGCCTTGGGGCTGAAGTCAAGTTTGGAAAGGCCTTTTTACTGCATTTTACTGGTAGGGGTGGCGAAAGGAAAAAGGTATGACCAACATACGAAAAACACTAGTCACCTGAGGTTCCTCACAAGAGGTTGGGTTATACATGCAAAGTAATGCTATTTTAGCTTAAGGCTGTTACTGCCAATAACTACCCCTTTGGGAAGGCAGGCCAATCTTTTAGAATGGAGGGCAGGGGAAAAGCTGGAAAACCACCACGCAGTATGGCAGCTGCAAAAAAGGGGGCACAGCCATTGGAGCTAGGCTAGAAGCCTGGACTGGGAACTTGGTTGGGCCAGATTTGGTCCACAAGCCTGAAGGTTAACGCCTCAGTGCAGTATTACCTGAACAAAGCACAAAAAGAACAACACCAACGATGCAAGAGCTACATTAAAATATCTGATGGGACTTTTAATTCATTAATTCATCAACACCAAACTCTGGGCACAAGCACTGTCACACATGGCAACAAATCAGCAAAGGGGTGCATGTATATTTGTGTATACTGAGAGGGGCAAAAACAAAGGGTCTCAGGCACCAGACAGAAACAAGCAGGTGGGAGTTCAGGGGAGGGGTCTTGATGTACGGGGAATATTAAGGCAGAAGGAACATTTGTAGGCTGGGCCACACTGGGGGGAAAAGAAGAGAGGGAAGCCAGAATTGAAGGAATTGAGGCTGAGGCTCTCCAGCTCTGGTCTGGGGAGCTCGTCAGCATTAAAATGCATCCACTTGACTGAACTGGAGCGTTCTAATAGGGCACTCCGAAGTGTAGGGTGCAGAACAGCCCCCCCACCAGTATAACCATGGGACTGAGATTTGGGGACCCCAGCCCAAAGCTACCCCCTTCCTCCCCAGTATTTCGGGGTTGCAAGGCAGAACAGAGGCAGGAAAAAACACTAGGTGTCGCTCGCAGTCCATTGACATTCAGAGACTGGCAAGAGGGGGCCATGGTGAGATGGCTACCCCCATTTGTTTCCCCCACAAAGGCGAATTCCCACTATTCAGGAAGGTACCGAAGTCTCTGCGATCCCCCAGTCCCACCTCTCTTGCCCCCGGCCCCTTCCCCTTCTGTCCGCTTCACTCTCTGCAGCTGGGGATCTCCTGCAACCTCCCCACCCAGTCGCTTGACCCGCAGAAGATTGGGGGGCTCCGGAAGGTCTCCTGCATCAAAGATGGCGCGCCTCAGGCGCCTGGGCGGCCCAGGGAGACGCTGGGGGTCCAGGTTGCCTGCCCCCGACAAGATCCTGCCAAGCAGGTACCTGCAAAAGACAGAGAAAGCAGAAGATCAGATTCAGCAGCCACATGGCCTTTTTGTCTAATTAGATCCACCAGAAACCTTTACTGGAGCCAAGAATGGGCCTCACATCTTAGAAGTGCTTTCTACCTCCCTTCCAATAGCTGGAGATAGAATTTCTGATGTTTGAACATAGGCTCCCATCCCTGCCTAACCCACCAGGCTCAACTTCCAGAGTCAGAACCCCTAAAACCCACTCTGTTTCTCCCACTCAAGCACCCAGGCAAGGATGTGGGTCTTGGAGAAGATTTCTCAGCCTACTTCTTCCAGAGGTTCCACCTGGATTCTTCTCTCATCTTCTCTCTCTTCTCTTGATGACTCATTCTGTTGGCACCTCTTTCTTGGATTGGCCTTTGTCTTCACCTCTCTTCATGCTCTAAGGTGGTGGTTTTTAATTTGTGATGTGGGGGAACCTGAGGTTCATTAGAAAATGGACTTTCTGAGGGAGAAGATCACTAATGGTGATCTTCAGTGAAAGACAGTTTGCCTACCACTGCCAATCTCCCCTTGTATGGACCCTAGAAAGTACCCCAGAATCCTTTGCAGCACACTGAGGTCCCATAGCTGATATACAAGGGTTACCACAAGCCAGAAAGACCAAAAACCATCACTTAAAGAGGAAGGATGTGGGCCTAGTGGCCATTTCACAGGCAAAGCAAAACAAGAAGAAAATCATACCTTAAAGCAAAACAGCAAAACTCTAAACACAAGCAAAGTTGTCCTGCAAGTCACAGAAGATTGTTTGCTCTGGTGGAGACATCTTTGAATGGGAAAAGGGTGAGATGAATTCCACTGTTTCCTGCTTTCCCTGAAGCTCCATGTGTCCCTCAAAAATCAGCTCCAGTGAAACAGTGTGGAAGCTGGTGCAAACCACTCCAACAGAAAGGGGAATTTCTGAAGATTGGCTTTCCCCCCACTTCTGTTCATGGAAGCCTCCTTGGGCTCAAAGAGTCTTCTGTGAACAGAAGGACTGTGTTGGATACAACCCAAGCTGTCCAAAACACCATTATCATTTGAATAACATGTAAAGCAATAATTAAGAATCAAGCACCTACCTAGTGAGAACCAGGTTGAGTCCTTATTAAGCTCTTAGTGGTTGTATGTATGCAAATCAAAAGGCTGGCATTCTTTCATTTTTAAATGAGATGCATAAATATATGGAAGCAGCTAGAATACTCTTGAGAGATCCTGCTCCCCCCTCCCTGGAGCTTCTCCCATGGCAACCTCTATGGTAAGGCCCACTTTTCATCTGATGGGTTCTTCCTAGGGTGAAAAGGCCTTATTTAAAGGCACACTATTCTAGGTATGGCTTTGCATGTCCTCAGGCACAACAACTCCGTGCATGCAGAAGAACAGCATGACCAAGAAAAGGCTACCTGGAAGGCTGCTTTCTCCCTTACCAGCTCTCAAGGTCTTCTGGAGTGACCCATTCAATCCCTCCACCTTGCCAGGTGTCTCTGACAGTGACCCAGCTGAGGACCCTTCCCATGGCTGTCCCCAGGCTATGGAATTTCCTCCCAAGGGAGGGCAAGATTATTTCCTCCTTGATGTCCTTCTGCTGGTAGGCAAATACTGGCTTATTTAAGAAGGCTTTTAATCTGTAAATAGTGCTCCTTCTAATAATTTCCTGTTGTTTTTATTTCATTTTAATAGACTATTTTAATCAATTGTAATTGGTTCTGTATGCCCCCTTGAGTACTATTTTTTGGAAGGAAGAAATATGGGGTACAAATGAAATCCACAAACAAACAAGGCTATGGTGGTTTCTTGTCCTGACAGACTGGTTTTCTCCATGCAGTTGTTTTGGTTTCTTTAGTGCAGGAATATTCAAGTATGCAAACCCTACAGGTGCTGCCCCAAGTGTTACAATCCAGGAAAAAGCTCTATTATTTGATTCTGATGAAAATATAAACTACTTCTGCAGTTCTTATGAACTGGATCCTATTTCATGAAATGTACCCTGAAATGCTACATTTTTGCTGTTTTCTTCTCTTTAAAAATATTAATGTATGAGGGCAGCCTGACTTTTTGCTTTTCTAAAAGACAAGTCCTGGACACTCTCTTCTTTATTACTGCCTATGTTCTACAGCTGAGAGATGACCTCCAAGCCTAGTCCTGGGGTTAAGTCCTGGTTCAAAGTAATTCTGGCCTTTCCTTCTCCAGGTCCCCCATTCCAGCTACCTCAGCATTTCGGAGTCCACCTCGCCAGCAGGCTCTTCCTCCCCTCCCAGCTCTTCCTGGGGTTCAAAACCTCCTTCAGGGACCCAGTAACGATTTGGCAGTGATCTTGGTGGAGAGGAGCTTCCAGCTAAGCCGGTCTCATCATACTCGGGGTACAGCGCAGCACCCTTCGCTTCATCCCAAAGCTTTAGCAGATTTGCCAGGTAGAGGGATTCCTGGTCCCGGCGATGCCCATCCTGAAGGAGGCGCTGCAGAGCAAGGGCCAGGCGTTCGTCGGGCTGGAACTGGCTGCTGGGCGGCGCGACGGCCCGCTCCAGCGCCTGAGCCAGGCGGTCGTCTTGGAGCTGGTTCCCGGAGAAAGCCATGGCTCTTTCTAAGGCCTGGGCGAGGTGCTCTTCTGACAACTGGCCGCCAGGGGGCGACATTGCTCTCTCCAGCGCCGCAAGCCGGACCAGCTCGGGGTAGTACACTTCATTAGCCAACGCGGACTCCACGGCTTCGTAGGGCGGCCCCTGAAGCTCCCGTCGGACGCGCCGCGCCCCCCCCGGACAAGCTGTGGCCCAGCCCTCCATGGGAGCTGCTCGTGGTGGAGAGAGGCTGTAAGAAACAAGGGCGGTGTTTGGAAGGGGGCGGGGAGTAAAATGAAGATCAGACGTCAGACGGCTAGAAAAAGCTGTGGGGGAAAGCCTATTTCTACTACTATAACCCGCCGCAGGCGAGTAGCTAGAAATGCGTATCGGATTCATCGTAAGTCAATGTGAAGCAGCAACAAACAAACAACGAATAGTTTGATCAATTTAAAACACATCATTTTTTTTTAACTTGCACGAGACAATCCGGCCAAAGCAACCTCCCTCAACTTGTTGCTTCCAGCCCTTTCGCTTGTTGACTCCCGTCAGCTCCCGGCAACATGGCAGATGCTCAGGGAAGCTGGGAGTGAAGTAGTCTAAAACATCCAGAAGTCCCCTGGATGGAAAAGGGTAAAGCACTTTAAAATCTTACTGATTTCTGGAAGGGGAGAGTGCTTACTGAAATCAGTCATTGAAATCAGCAGTGCTTTATTTAAAAATAGATATATATGAACCTTTTCCTCCTACCCTTGTTCTGGGGAGCTCTGAGTGGCATGATTCCCGTATTTATTTGATCCTCACAACAACCTCTAAAGTAGGTTAGGTCAAAGATGATGACTAGATCCAACGTAACCAACTGAGCTCCATGGCTCTGGATGGGCCACGTACAGCAGGCAGCAGTGCTAGATCTTAGGATGCAATCCTGTGTATGTTTAGACAGAAAAGTCCGTGGCTGGGGGCATGCTGGGAGCTATAAGAGTTTTTCTGTCCAAACACAGGCAGGATTGTGCCCTTACTGAGTTAATGGAATAGAAAACTGCCTGTGTGTTTCTTTGTTCTATCAGTAAATAAAACTCTTAGATATGCTTAACAATACACAGACACAGTAAAAATCCGAGCATGAAAACCCGAGTGACCAAGGACTGCCTCTTTAGACACAGACAAAAGAGACATTCCAGATCTTTCTCCCAGATTTCTGTCTGGATTTTGCCCCAAGCCCAGTAACATTAGGAAAAAAAAGCAAGAAAACTCCTGATTCATTGTAGATTTAATGGCAGAAATAGTCACAGGAACATTTAGAGGAAACAACAAACAGCTCATGGAAGAAGAACCTATTTTGCCTCTAAAGTGCCAAAGCATTTTTTGGGGGGAGGGGTGATTATAAATAAGAATGTTTGTATTTCTTTATCTCCAAATTATATTATTAAATATAATATATAACACAACATAACAATATATTATTAATTATAATAAATATTATTGAATGTATAATGATATGATATTTTATTAAATATTATTAAAACTGTATACATTCCTTTCTGTTAACATTCTTTTCATCTTTGATGAAGACAGGCTTCTATGTATTTATTAACAGAATTTATAGGTCACTCTCCAACAGACCAAAAAGATTTTTACATGCTGACATGTGCATAAACACATACATAAATTTGGTCTTCATCAGCACACACACACAGAGATATAGAAGCTTTGTTCCAATTTGTTGCCTACCAACTCAGGAGACACCACTGTGACCTGCACTGGACACTGCCCCTCACTTCACTGCCTCTGTTCTGTGCAAGCCACTCAGTGGGAAGGAAAGGCACTCTGCATGTGTTCAGTGGTACTGCTTTTCTGAGATGGTCCCTGAATACTGAAATTGGGCTCTGAGGCTGAGCGACTTTTTCTTCACTGCATGCCCTTCAAACAAGCCTCATTTATGCAATCAGCAGTTAAATATCTGGGTATTATAAGTGATTGGTCTTAACTAATAAGACTGGACTTTTCCAAAGATATTAGCATATCTGCTAAGCGTTTGGGGTGGGGAGAGAAATGAAATTGCAGCACCCAGACCTCCTCCCTTAGTGGAACCAAAACTGCTTCTTTTAACATTTACTTGAAAGGAGAAATCTACCTGAGATACAGCAAAAATCAAGAATTTAAATGGGGCACTGTGGAAAATTGTGTGGGGAAAGTGTGTGTGCGCGCGCGCACACACACACACACACACACACACAGAATGTGGGGGGGAGAGAGAGAGGGAGAGGATTTGCAAGGGAAAGAGACTGGCAAGGCTCAGGCTGGGCATCTCTGCAGAGAAGTGCACATATAAATCAGTGAAGGTGCCAAAGAGGCTCTGCAGTCTTCCTGCAGAATTAGTCATGACAACCCTGGAAAAAAGGGAAATTGAGAGGCCTTGGCTGGGATCACTGGAGAATTGCACTGATGGATCAGAGTTCCTGAGCTTTTGGGATTCTCATAGCATTCCAAGCCCCTCAATATCTTGTCTCTCTCTCTCTGTTCTCCTGCAGCATATGCCCCAATGAATCAGTCCAGACCCCTGGAGCTCAAATGGGTAGTGAAGGGCTGCATACACAGTGCCTGCATGAAGGTTCCTAATGACATGCATTTCGACAAACGCCACCTTGTTCCTCCCTTGTATACACCTATCCCACCTTGCACAACGACAAGGTTCATCATGGACATACCTAGCCAGCACAGAGGGAAAATATCCTACAGAACACCTGTTGTGTATGACGCATTTTGCACATTTGGGTTATGTGTCTTCCCCTACAGTGGAACCCATCTTGCGCTTAGGCACCTGAGCCCACATTTTGCACACTGCAGTGCCCAGTAGTATGCCTGCCCCTTTGCACACATGCACACACGCATCCTACTTGGCATGATTCTTTTACACAGTTCTGCATCATCACACAGACACATGATTTGTAACACCTACAAAAGCCCACCCATAAGACTTGTGAAGCATGCACAGTTGCTCACAGTACACGCTCATGCGTGAGTCACATACACAATCACACACAAAGTGACTTCGCTGGATAGGTGGGTGAAAAATATGCGCACATGACTCATTGCTCTCTGCCTGCCCACAACAGACATACACATGCAAGGACTTCCAGGGGTCCTTTAGTATTTAGGGTGCAGTCTTGTTCCCAATCACCCCAGTCTTACACACTAAATGGATGATTTCTTGGTCTTCCACACCTTAGCCTCTCCTCACAAGATCAGAAATGCTCCTTCCTCCACACATGGGAGATCACAAGGATATTTAGTTTGAGGATATGAATTGCCAGCTGAATCCTGGAGCTGGAAGGAGATACGGAGCCATCTCGTGTGTCCCACCTGCTGCTGCTGCTGTAACTGTAATCATTTGTCCGCCAGCCAGCCAGCTTTTCTACAGATCAGATCTACACAATCCAGGCTGAGGCTGGAAAACAGGTGCGCCACAGAAAGGGGGGGGGCAAAACACATTGTTCTAGATCAGTCTCCTGCAATTTGGTGCCTTCCAGATGTGCTGGGTTGCAACTCCCATCATTCCCTGCCAGCACGGCCCATGATGGGACGGATGAGAGTTGCAGTCCAACACACCTGCAAGGCATTAGGTTGGGGAAGGTTGCGCTAGATGACGCAAGCAAGGAAGACAAGAGGCAAGCCCAGGTGACCGCTACCAGCCCTACGCGTTACAAAAGGGACGTCATCAGATAACCTGTGTGTGCACACACGGATGGGCGGGTGATGGATGGGTGACTACACGGATAAAGGACGAATCGCACTACACATAAGCAATGCATCTCCATTCTGCAGCATAGCTGCGCGGGCGCGCGCAGTCCGACTCCTCCCCCCACCCCCCCCGGCAGCCGCGTTCACACGGTCAGCCTGCATGGGTAGGCTGGGGCGCCAGGGCCGGCTCGGGATCTCCTACCTTGGCGGCTCCGAGGCTCGAGAGCAGCGCGAGCAGCAGCGCCGGGCCCATCGCTCCCCTCGGTGGCGGACGGGAGACGGAGGCTGCCCAGGCGGCGGCGGCAGCAAGCGAGCGACGGAGCCGAGCCTGGACTGCACCAGAGGAGAGACGGAGAGCGCGGCGGGCGGGCGCCAAACAAGCGCGCCAGCTCCGCCCCGCTCGGCTCCGCCCCTGCCCATCACTCAGCATCCTTGTGTCAAGGACGGGCGAAGGGGCGGGGGGGGAGAAGGAAGCTGGCTGCGGGGGGGGTGGGGTGGAGGCTCAGCCCCGGAACCCGCTTTGAGCCTCCCGGGAAAGCGGCGCCTCCGAAAGGTGCAAAGTGCTCCCGTTCATCACTGAGCGGTTTACACAAGCTTCGAGCGGAAGGAAGTGAGCCAAAGCGAGCCTTGGGGTCCCTCGTTTGCTTTGTTGGGTTTTGCACTGTGGATCGAGAGATGTTTGTTCATCTCTGCCGCCTCCCCAGTCTCTGATCTCCTCGAGTGTGGGACAATTAAAGCAACACGGAGTGTTTGGGAGCATGTGTGCATTCATTCACTTCACCTCACCAGTTCCCAGGCATGTAAAATTAAGGGGCAGGTACCTTAGAGAGGGCAAAAGTTTCCCAATTGTGTGGGCTCTGAAGAGGACATGGGGAACTGTTTAGTTATTGGGTTCTGCTCAGTCTTCCTTGGAGTAGATCCATTGAAATGAATAAGATTCAAGATAATTTAACATTGGGTCCAATCCACTGGTAATTTAACTCTCTGGATCAAAGCCGAATCCCCCCACTTCTGCCTCTTATTCTTTCCTATTCCTTCCAGGGTCTAATTTTGCACACCCTCTTTTTAAAAAAGTTTAACCCAAAGAGGGGGAGATCAACCCTGACTCTGTCCTAGAGGAGATCAACCCTGACTGCTCTTTAGAGGACCAGCTACTGAAGATGAAACTCAAATACTTTGGAGGGCCACCTAATGAGAAGGGAGGACTCCCTGGAGAAGAGCCTAATGCTGGGAACAATTGAAGGCAAAAGAAGAAGGGGACGGCAGAGGATGAGGTGGATAAGATGGAGTCACTGAAGCAGTGGGTGTGAGCTTGAGTGGACTCCAGGGGATGGTGGAAGGCCTGGAGGAATGTTGACCATGGGATCACAATGGGTCGGAGGAATGCGGGGGGGGGGGTGAGTTTGTCTCACCTTGTCTCTACGAAACAATGCCATAGGACAGCCTTCCCCAACCAGCTGCCTTCCAGATGTGTTGGACTACAACTCCCAATGCCTCTAGACTTGCTTGTTGGGGCTTCTGGGAATTGTAGCTGAACACATCTGGAGATACCTTGTTGGGAAAGCTGGTCATAGGCAGTTGTCCAGATTGACATAGTACAGAGGTGTTCCAACTAGTTCTAAGGAACTGGATTAGAGGTTTTGGAAGTTCTTTGGGGTGCCTCAGCAGATCACAAAAGGCAAAGAAGGTCCCCTGAATGTCAGCCTACCCACCAGTATTTTTTCATTTATACCTCCACCTTTCCTCCTAAGGGTTCAAGGACTTGTACATGGTTCTTCTCCACACCTCCTCACACCTCATGTATGGAAGTGGAAAGACCACTGGTGGCCCAAGAACATTCAGTGGGCTTCCTGACTGAGCTGGAATTGGAGCTGGATTTCCCTCATCCCAATCTGGCACTACATGCACCACTTGGGTTCTTATCACCACTGGTCTCGGCGCAGCTAGAGATGAGTGCCAAGTACATTGCTATGGGGTGACCTCACATTTCCCGTGAGTCCTTGGCAGCACTCCCAGAATACTCCCTGTTCATTTGTGAATGTGCCCCAGCATCCTCTGTAACACACAGGAATCCCTTGGGAAGAAGACTACATGGAGAGAGCCCTGATATTAGCAAGTTAGAAGAAAACCACCAATGTTCTGTTTTGCATGACAAGGCTGTCTATGAGTTATTTAATCCATGGTGAGCCATGGATGCCATTATCACTATGCAACCTTTGACTGGAGCAATTGGGCAAAGGGTGACTTATGTTGGATATGCCTGGCCATTCAGGGGTTAAACATCACATAATTCTGAATCAGCAGTAGGGTTATGCAGGGGTTGTTTAACCATTAAACATGGTGAAATGACTGTGACTTGTAAATTGGCCCAATGCCTTTGCCTCCAAATTTGTTACCCTCTCCATCCGTCCATCCGTCTTTTCCCCTCATGTGATTAAATAAAAGGGGAAAAAGTCAAGGCGTTTTCTTTAAGGGGCAAAGGCACAAAGCATTGAATATACGTTTGTGTGTGTTTATTTATGCCACAAATTTTATAAACTGAAAAGGAACAAATGTGAAGGAACACATCACATACTCAAAGTAGCATTCGTGAAACAGATCCAGTGGAAGCCACACAGATCCAGCAAGTCCAAAACCAGCTCAGGCTGGTCCTGACATACATCTGCTTCATTCACTGGAGGTAATCCACCTCGGCACCCTCACCAGTCCAGCTGACTTCCAGGAAACCCAGGGTATCCTGTGCAATGCATGCAGAAGTTGCCTCCTTTATTTTTGTCAAGAACGTACTTCAAATAGCTTCCACTGAGAAAAGCCTACCTTCTGGCTCACTCTGTAGTTATATTTCTACTTAACTCTTCTTTTTTTTGCAGACTGCACACAATTAAACATTGATTCAGGGTACAGACAGTATCCTCTTGCAGCCCAAAGAGACAGAAGTTCTAAACAGGATTTCCATAGCACAGTATTTTGTAAGTATCTGTTAGTTCGCTGAGTTAAGGCATCATGAAAGCTGAGCAGGCTACCAAGTTCCTCCCTTCAGGTGGGTCTTTCTATGGAGCCATTCACTTCTCTTTGAGTGCCTCATGACCCTGCATTGCTCCTCCCTTGTCATCTGGTGCCTAATGCTTGGGTCTCACTTTCTCACTTGCTCTTCCTGTTCCTTCAGAGCTTGCATTCCCTCAGCTTTGGAGGACCCAGCTTGGCTATCCTCTGAAAGATTAGACAGCAGTTGGGTTTCCACCTTTCTGTCACTGCTTTTCTTACCACATGCAGAATCTCACCCCCTCAGCACCCCGTACTTCCTCCTCCTGGTCTGCCTTAGCATCACTTCCTATGGCTTCTTGGAGAACATCTGCAGGAGTGTGGAGCCCAGTCCCTGCATCATTCCATCCCCATCTGTTCTCCCCTCACCTTCCTGTCTTCACATTCAGCCACAAGCCCAGAAGGCAATGGAACATGCCCCTCTTTCTGGACAAGATAAGGGAAAGGCCAGAGTTTCAGAAAATGGCATTCAGCTTGAATCCACAGTATGTAGTACTCTGTGTTTGATCTACACAGGATGGGTCCAGATTTCTCCCTCCCCCTCTCATTAATGGTGGGTGGATTTTGTTTTTACAACTGGAAAAGCTAGATCCACCCACTCTAAAAAGGGAGAGTGGGGGAGGGCTGGTTCTCCCATCCTGTATTGCATTTCTGAACACCCAGGGCTAGAATCCTAAGCAGACTTCTGTGGCCATGCCATCCAAATCAGAGTGTCTCATCTTTTACAGGATCCTAGAAAACAGCCCTCTCCTAGGTCTTTATATCCAAGCATCAGCACAAAAAAGAGGGTCTCTCCCTAATGGCTCTGCAGTTGCCGGTTCCTTCTTTCAGGGACTCACATCTATGTGGATGCCTAAGTTGGGATAGTGAAAGTTCAATCTGCGAGGTTGGAGGTAGCATCCCCTTCATATATAGCTAAAAGAATGTTTATTGAATTAATTTGAAATGCTGAGAAGCTTTGTAGATTCCTGTTTTAAAATTACAGAACTACCTAAGACATGAGTACACCAAAAGTTCCTACGATAACTGCAGGGTTATCCTGCATGTGTCAAGCATCCCCAGATGTAGGGTATAGATAGATACATAGCATCTACTGCATGCCCTGGAACAGCCTTCTCCAACCTGTTAGACTGAAACTGACTGACTTGGAGTCATTCTGTGAGTTACTAATCTGACAAATTTAGAGGGCACCAAGTTGGGAAAGGCTGCCTTAGAAGAAGTGTTTGCACCTTCCAAGTGCATCTCCCATTTTTTCAGTTACCTGATCTTTTTTTGTATGCTATAAATGGTTATTGCCATGTAGATCAAAAGAATTTCAAAAAAAGAACAGATAAGAATTTTTGCTACCTTCTGTCTAATTCTAGGCAAGTCCTGTGCTAGCAAGCACACATTTGTCATCAACAGGAATTGATCAAATCATATATATCTTTCAGTTCAGTTCTTTTCCCTCTAAGGCAGGAAAGCTATTCATATCAGTCAACTCAAGAATCACACAAAATGGACTGTCGAACATCTCAGATATCAAAACAGGTTCACTTGTAAAATGCATTGCAACCAACTGGCATCACTCACCAGCTGATGCAGTGCTTCACATATTAATATCTTGTAAGTAAATAAAAATATGAATGCATTAATGTAGCAACCTAGCATTATGCAGAGTGAGGTGGCTACCAGAGGCAGAGTGGTAGGAAGTGGCAACAGAGTGTTGGGAAGCAGAGCTGTGTCCCCTGAGGTATCCTGATGCCCTAAGGAGCAGTGGGGAATGCAGCTTTGTCACATTTCCTGAAGCAGGGTTCAGCAGCGAGTGGGTCCCTTACTGTCACTCTCTGGAAGGGAGAAGCTCTGCATCTTTCACTTTGGGCAAAAAATGTTTTGATTTAGCTCTGTGCATTGTGAGTTGCTTAATGTCCAACGGAGCAAAGCTCAGGGAACCAAGGTTCCATTTAGATGCCAGGAAGCACTTCCCTTTTTTTTTTTTTTATAATAAATTTTATTTAAAAAAATTTAAACTAACACTAAAAACATCAATCATCAAAAACATCAGACGTATTGGGTCAGCCCCCTACTCATATTTTTTAACATTCCATAATCATATTTAAATCCATTTATGATGGCTTAAAAACATATTTAAATCTAAACCAGGTCCCGTTTCTCTAGCCAATAATAAAAAGAGTGCCAAGTTTGATAGAAGTCAGTATCTTCTTTCTCCTTCAGTGATAAAGTCAATCTATCTATTTCTGCACAGTCTAGAATCTTTTTTAAAATCAGTTCATTGGTGGGTAGTTCCTCACTTTTTCAGTGTTGAGTGAATA